CACCGTGGCATCCTGGCCGCCCTGCCTGTCGGTGCTCTGGCCGAGGCTTTGCTGAATGCTGCAGGGTTGTGGGCCAGAGCTCTTTGTAGGGCCGTTGACCCAGATCACGGTCCCTTGATGCCGAGGCAGCGACCTTGGCCCGCCAGTGATTGTTACTTTGACGGAGGAACGCCCTCGACCGACGTGCTGTGCACGCGTGACTTTTGGTGCTCTACCGCCGGCCCGCCATGGCTGTCTTCTCCAAGGCTTTTAGGCTGTACCGGGACTGACCAGCTCGAGCCCTCCAATTCCAAGGTGTTGCCCCTTCCTCGGGCCTTGGCTGCTGGTGAGCTTGCTTGGAGGGCTGAGTGTGCTGCGCTCGCCCCTTTCCTCACTTCAGATCCTGCTGCCGCTTGCTCTTTTGTTTATGAGAGATAGCAGCGAAGCTGCTGCCGCGGGCTTGCTTGAAGAAGGCCACTCCTTTGTTTGAGGAGACTCCCGAAAACGATGTTTTGGGGAGGGCGTGCCCTTGATCACCAAGCTCGCCGGCTTGACGCCCCCCTCGCCTCCCTGCCCTCAGCCGGTCGGGTTCCGTTTTCTTTTTGCAGTATGCCTCGTCCTCCTCTCTTGGCTTTCGACTCCTCTCTCGGCTTTGCCGACGAGGGCCCTGGTCAGTTTCTTCAGGGTCTTCTGGTTCGGGGTCGGTTGCATTTGGGGGGTGTCGGGGGTTCTGGAGCTGCGGAACGCTGGCGACAAAGCCCGCTTCAAACCTGGGCAAGGCAGGCCTCTCTCTGAAGGCCGGCCGGTCGAGAGGATTGGGTAAAAGCAACCGGGATGCGCTCTGGAACTGCTTTCTTGGCTGGTGCAAGGAACAGGCAATCCCTGAGCAGGTCTTCCAACCTGACGATCTAGTCGACGTTGATGCCATCAACGCTATCCTGTCGCGTTACGGCTGGGCCCTCTACCAATGGGGGCGTCCTTACAACCACTATTCGGAGACTGTCAATGCTTTGGCGGGAAGGGTTCCGAAGATACGGAGGTTGCTGCAGCCAGCGTGGGACGTGGTTTTTCAATGGCAGCACCTGGAGCTTCACGTCCATCATCAGGCCATGCCGTGGCAGGTGTTTCTGGCCCTCTTGACGACGGCCCCCTTCTGGGGATGGTTGGACGTCGCTGGGGTTATGGTTTGTGTTGGGGCGGACTAGGGCCTAGGGAGGATCGGTGAGGTCTATTTGCTGCGACCCGATCCGACTTAGTCCTCCCGACATCGAGCACACCATCGACTATATCCTGATGGCCATCCGCGAGCCAAAGACTCGGAACACTGCGGCTCGGCATCAAGCCTTGAGACTTGACCACCCGGAGCTCATGAGGATCGTCGAGCTAGTTGCTAGTTTTTCGGTCTAAGCACCGCGGCCAGCGACTGTGGCCCCACTCGCCGGGCACCTTTCGGCTGCGTTTCTCGAAGCTTTCCTCTGCGCTCGAGCTCGACCGCTTCAAGGACGACGGGGGTTCCCGTTGGACTTAGGGTGCCCCCCGGGCCACCTGGCTTCTGCATGCCACGGAGAACGGCGATTTCGTGCGCCGCCGCGGACGTTGGATAGGCTCCGAGGTCATGGAAATATACATTCAAGAGGTATCCTCATGACGCGATGGCGTCCCGGGTCCTCAAAGTTATGCGTCGTTGTCCTTCGATGCTACAACAAGCTGAGATGTATGAGCAATTTGAATCCACCTGTTACGTGGTTCTCTTTGTCTGCCGTTGGTCAGGCTGTTGGCCCGCGGTTGGGCGGAGGCAGGGCCAGTGCTACGCGCACTTGTAACGAAGTCCGAGGAGCAGCAAAACAAGTTGTGACTTCAGCATGCTATTAAGCCGAAGCCTAGGATGCATAAGGCTGAGGTGTCAAAGCCATGCCGGCTCAAAGTATCCCGCCTCTCCCGCCCGCCGACCACCGGCAGGGCCAGTGCTACGCGGACTTGTAACGAAGTCCAAGGAGCAGCAAAACAAGTTGCGACTTCAGCATGCTATTAAGCCGAAGCCTTATGTATTTATTTTGTCCTTTGTGTGTGTGTGTATGTATGTGCGTGTGTGTTTGTGCACGACAGTATGCCGCCAAACTATGGCTGTTATGGTGCAGCCCGACTCAATTCTCCAGGCAGTGGAAATCCACTGTCTTTGTTGCAGCACCTGGAAGTGTGGACGATGATGACTTCCGAAGCATCCTAGCCACAGTCAGTAGTCTGCTTGTGGGTGATCAGCAGAAATGCTTGGGGTTTGGTTGTCAGTGACCGTGTTACCCCGGCTGCTGGCAGCTCAAGGCGTGTCGACAGGGACGAGCACCAACGGTGAGGATTCTAAATTGCGATGGCTTGGCTTCAATGGTGACAGCTCCAAGAACAACCGGAAGCAGCAAGAAAAACTCTTGGCAGAGGTGCATGCAATGAGTGTGCAACCGAAGCATGACTGCTGGCAGTATTCGAGCTTGCGAGGTGAAAGTATTGGGTCTTTTGGATGGTCTCGTTGATCCCGAAACTGGCGAAGTGTTGCAGGACAAGCAGGTGCGGGGACTGCCGTCAGAGACCGTTAACCTTCCTCGCTGGTACGTGCACATTTCGAGAGAGTCTGAACTCCCGCCCGACACAGTGCCCGCTGAACTAGAAGCCGCCTTGCTTTTGCGCGCCAGAGGCGAAAGCTGCCAATGATAGCAATTCCAGGTGGGTGCCAGACAGATTTCTTAGTTCAGCTGAAGTTGTCCCCCTTGTAATCAAGGCGAAGTTCGATAACGTCAGCCGGATCCGCTCCAATTCACGACGGGGAGGTCTGACTCTGACACTTTCCTAAACCGTCGACCGCTTACCTTTCCTCATCGCTCGGGATGTGTATACTTGAAGGTGGAAGCATGACTAAAAGCCGCTGTTGACAGGACGATCAAGAGAAGAAGCTGATGGAGGATCTTGTGTCGTAGAGCCCAATGTCACGACCACATGCTCGGCATGCCGGAAGTGGCCAGTGATTTCAAGAAGAGCGAGTGGCATGCTGTGTATTTAATTCGGATACGTCGTATGATCTGGCGACTTGCAGGAGCGAATCGCATTCCTGGAGAAGGAATTGCAGCGCTGCGAGCGCAAGCAGCGCAAAGCCACTGCCGACTGCCAGCAGTTGCAGCCTGCTAGCGTCACCGTGCAGTCACCGAAGCAGTTGTCGGGGATCGAGATGGAATTTCGGTAGGGCAGCATCAGGAGCCTGAAGCACTGTTCCTCCGCCCGACGTTTCCATCTAGAATCAACTGTCTCGTGCGCGAGCGGACCCGTGTACCTACAAACAAATTCCATCCGGAGTCTTTGCATGATCATGATCTACATGTCGATGCAACCATCGTCTTCTCCGAAGTACTTTGCAAGGCAGACGCGCGTGGGCCGCTGGCTTTCTTTGACCTCGATCCAGAGAGAATTAGGCGGCTCAGCAACATCCACCAGCGTCTGACAGCTGAGTTATCTCAAGCTCGTGCGCTTCTGCAAAGCTTGGATGATGAGGAGACACGATCTTCTCGCTGCCCAGCTGCATGTATTAATGGGTGTCAGGTAGGTTTCCTGCAGGATTTCGGATTTGTTCTGTTACCGGATGGAGGCGGGATTTCAGCATTCTAGACTAGCAGGTTTTAGGCAAGCCATTTATGCACCAAGGTCGCCGTGAGGCACTCCTGCAGGCAGTGACCGATGGCAAGGCCTCTTCAGGAGGAGCCGTCAAAGCAAAGAGGCATGGCCCTCAATTCTCGGAGTTCGCTGCTGACACTCGCGACACCATCTGCCACATGGGCGATGAGTACAAGGATCTCAAGGGCGATATCTTGCGAGATATGTTGGGGGGCTCCGTGACGGCTGCACGGACTTGGTTGGAAAGTAAGGGCGACCCAGATACATATCATGCTGGTACTGGTTGGACTCCGCTGTTGATGGCAGTCTCCACTGGGAATATGGAGCTTGTGGAGCTGCTAATTTCTTACAGGGCGAGCCTGACACTCCCGGCAAAAGGCTCCGGGGAGACCTGTGCCCACCTTGCGGTGTACAAGACTACAAGTGAGATGCTTCACAAAGTACTGGATGTGCATGGACCTGCCACTAAGGAGGTACGAAACGATGGCTCCACAGCACTGAGTCTGGCAGTGGAAAAGGCTCCGGCACGTGTGAAGAACGAGTTCATACGTGCTCTCCTAGAGAAGCACGCGGACCCGAACGTGAAGCGGAAAGACGGTTGGACGCCCCTGGGCCTCGCTGTTCGAAACAATCTGCGTCATGCGACAAAATCAATGGTTGCTGCACACGGGGCCATTTTGACCATCGTTCCGGATACCAAGCCACCGCTTACTCTTTGGGAGCTGGCGGCTCCACATAAGGACCTGCAGAAAGTCATCCGAATGAAGCTTCCGAGCAAGGACTTGTCGGAAATCGAGAAGCGATGGCCGGGAACCCTGCTTCAGATGGTCGATGATGATTAAACTAGACGGCTTTGAATGACCAGAACCACACAGGGAACTCTAAAGCCAGGCTCCACACTCCTTTGTGGCTCGGATCTTGAAATACGCCGTGGAGGGAACACATGGCAAGGACACACGCTCTGGTCTAGGTGGACAAAATCGGGAGCAGAGTTCAGGATGCGGACGAGGTATCGATTGTTTGCGGACCGGGGGCGGCTTGGCTTCGGGAAAGACAGAAGGTCCCGGCAAGCTACGACTCGACGACTCGCGCGGCCGACAACTTTGAGCAGCTTAACGTGCGAGCGGTGGCTCTTTCCTTCGTCGAACTCCGACATGATTGGCATGGATGAGGATGCGATGGGGTAAGCGACATCATGGAGTCATGGAGCTTCTGAGCCTCTTTCGGGCCAGCATCGTGGAAAGCCAGGCCTCGAAAAGGGGGGCGAGCTCTTCTTGTTGTGGATGCGTTGCAGCCAACATAGACTGACTGAAGTGATCTAGGCCCAGGCCCAAGCCCAGTGAACGACTGGTAGAGCGACATGAGCCATGGCCATGGCGCCCTGCGCGGCGCTTGCCGTGGGGCGTGGCTACGAGGCGCTGGTGAGTTTCTTCCTTGAACTTCGATTCGAAGCCGGAGAGCTGCAACCGGACCAAAGCCCCTGCCAGGGAGATCCCATCGCACTTGTCCGGGACAGCTTCAAGCACTATGTCGAGGCCTAGGGCATTTGGTTTTGCTTTTGTGTCTCTGAGACCTGAGTTGCGATTCACAAGGCGGTGCTACAGCACTTGACCGAGCTGCAGAGGACCGATGAACACTTCGCATCGATTCACTTTTCTGCTTCTTTTCAGTGTTGCAGGCGCTGGCATCCCTTTGAAGCCGTGAGTGCGGGAAAGTGCAGAAGCTCGAAGCAGGTGTGCCATGTGAAGTCATATACATAGCCACCTGTCGTCCTGTGATGTGACGTGCTGAGGTCGAGGAGCTGGCGGCGCTCTGCCGGGAATGCGGCCTCGCCTCTGCCAAGGAGCGGAGATTCGCTCTTCGACCGCCCTCCCAGCCGCGACATCCGAGGCAGTTGTCGCTTGCGACCGGGTTCTCCGACGACAAATCCAGGTGCCTGAAATCCGGGCTTCGGGAAGTTCTATCTGCAGCCATTGCCAGGAACCGAAGGAACACTGCGTCAGCTCTCGACTCGAAGCTAGCCCACAAGCTGCTCCTGACCAAGAAGAGGCGCAGGAGACAGATCGTAACGCAAGATACGCACCGCAAAGCTTCCTGTGTAGGAGCTGCGGCAGCTAATGGCGAAGCGCTTGCAGCGTGCGTACCGCAGATTTCAGCAGCGCCGAAAACACAGCAAGCTGAAGGCCGGCAAAGCAGGTGCCCCGGAGTTCCAGGAGTCCCAGAGAACAGACGGGGCCTGTGGTCTCGTCAAACGTCTCAGGTTCTGGCCACTTCCCTCGTCTGCTGCCTTGGCACGCAACTGCAGCAAAGCCTAAACTACTGGCGCTCCGGAGTCGCGAGGTTTCCTCCCGTCCCACCCCGCTCTCGCTCGCTCGCTCGCTCGCTCGCTCGCGCTCTCTCTCTCTCTCTCTCTCTCGCTCTCTCTCGCTTTCTCTCACTCCCTGCCTCTGCAAGCCATTCGTTGGCTGCACGCGATCGCGGTTGTGCCGCGTGGTCATCCGTTGAACAGGAAGCACGCTGCCGGTGTCATTGCAAAGGCTGCCCAAGGTTCCTCCTGACGTTTGCCGAGCAGCCATGTGCCTCGGTGTGGGCTCTAAGCGGCCAGGCTGGCTGTCTCGACGATGTGCACATAGAGCTGCGAAGCTCTTCAAGGCACTTCGCTGCGCTGAAAACCAGCGGAGCTTCAGGCCGGGAGGCCCCTCGAGAAAACTGCTGTCTATCAGCGATTATCACCTGTGTCGGTTTTCAAGGCTGATGCGACGACACTTTGCACTTTGGACCTGGAAATTGGAATTCTCTCAGCGATGGCAGCGGAAGCGTGAGGCCGGAGTAGACATTGGAAGAGACACACACACACACACACACACACACACACACACACACACACACACACACACACACACACACACACACACACACACACACACACACACACACACACACACACACACACACACACACACACACACACACACACACACACACACACACAACACACACACACACACACACACACACACACACACACACACACACACACACACACACACACACACACACACACACACACACACACACACACACACACACACACACACACACACACACACACACACACACACACACACACACACACACACACACACACACACACACACACACACACACACACACACACACACACACACACACACACACACACACACACACACACACACACACACACACACACACACACACACACACACACACACACACACACACACACACACACACACACACACACACACACACACACACACACACACACACACACACACACACACACACACACACACACACACACACACACACACACACACACACACACACACACACACACACACACACACACACACACACACACACACACACACACACACACACACACACACACACACACACACACACACACACACACACACACACACACACACACACACACACGCTTACACACAGACTTCTGCTCTTGTGTTTTGAAACACTTGTGACAGTTGTGACTTTTGTGCCAGGAAGACTTAGCCCTCACGCCCGTCGATGTTGTCGAGAAGCAACGCGACTTCTGGTGGCTATTTCCAAGCGATGGAAAGACTGCAGTCGCCAAGGACGGCAGCAGCTCTGGTTTAGCTGAGTAGCTGACGTCACCGGTGCGCCTCTGCTTAGTGTAGGCGTGGGCCTCCTGATAGCCGGATAGCTCACAAGCAGATCATGCATTTTGGGAGATTCTGTTTGCAGGCCCAATTCGCTTGGTTCAAGAAGCGCCTGGCGTGGCTGGCATGGGTGAGTGCAATGTCCATAGAGCGCAAAACAGTTGCCGCATCCGCTTTGTTTGTTGTCTCGCAGTGGTATCAACGGCTGCGGCACGGCGGCAGGTGAGCATCTTTGAGTGTTGGATTAATCTGCCAGCCTCGTAGAGCATTTTCAAAACAGCAGGCATTACCATACTGTAGCGCGATGGCATAGGTACATTGCATGCTGCATGCCTGTCGGTGCTTCTATGTCAGTGTGCTGCAGTGACGTGTCATGCCTTTTTCCTAGTCTTTTCCAACACTTGGGCCAGTTGTCTATCTGATAACAGATTGCGCCTAGGTAGCTCTGCAGAATCCTGAAACGAGCATTATGTTCGAGCATTGTTCGTTTGGCGGTAAGTCTTTGTGACATTTCGACTCTTCGCCGATGGCTCACTGGAGTGGTGCGTGGTCAGTTTGCTACATGGTTGCTGGGACCACTCGAGGGTACAAGGCATGCAGCTGCCGTGCTGGCAGCTGTCTCTCTGGAGCTGTGTTGCGATTTTACTGGAACATCAAGCGCGTAATTCCCCAGAGCGAAAGGCAACCTAGGTCGTTCTGGGCATGCCTGATTGCTGATTGCAAGTGGGCAATGAAGTCTCCTACCTGCATCGTACAAGCACGCCGCAGTGCCCATCACGGCCCTGAACGGACGAACTGACACCGACAGTGTACACACACGTTTCTCTCTTTGCGACTCTTTCTACAGATCACAGCGATGGCTTGTGCAGGGTACAGTAGGAGGGCTTTGACGCAGCGGCTCCCAAATGGATCCGAGAGCGGCCTTCGAAAAGTTCTCAGGTGCCTAAGCCAGGGTCAAGGCCATTTGCAGGCACGTAGTCTCGAAACTTCTCGGCTTGCAGATGGGAAGTCTTGCCTGGACATCGATGATCTGAGCAGCATCCTCAGGCCGTTTTGTGAAAGCGTCAGACGCTTGCGAATTCGAGGCTGCGCCGCCTGGGCGGTATTCGGCACCAAGTTCAAGAAGCAGGAGAGCTCTTGCATTCAACGCAGAGTTTTCATAGTGCAAGAGCACTCTGCGGGCAGGATTTGCGTGACTTAATGATCCAGTACTGCAAGTCAGGGACTCAACTCACTGACTTCTATGTAGAAATGTCGAAAGCGCATGGGAATGCGGAGGCCGGAAGCGCAGGGCATCCTTCTGGAGGTTCGGAAGTCTGTGGGCACAGGCTCTTCCTGTTCGTATTGTGCACCGGGCAGGCCTTTCTAGTCTTAGTGGAGGAGCGCAGGCGCGAGCATGCAATGCTTACTAGCATGTCAGGTGAGGCATCGTCTTACCATATGCCTGCTGGAATATCTCTCTCTCGCTCTCCCTCTGTCTGTGTCTGTGTCTGTGTCTGTGTCTGTCTGTACGTGTCTATTCTGCGTCTGTCTGTGTCTGTCTGTGTCTGTCTGCGCCTGTCTGCGTCTGTCTGCGTCTGTCTGCGTCTGTCTGGGTCTGTCTGTGTCTGTCGGTGTCTGTCTGCGTCTGCCTGTGTCTGTCTGTGTCTGTCTGTGTCTGTCTGTCTTGTCTTGCCTTGCGTTGCCTTGCCTTGTCTTGTCTTGTTTGTCTGTTCGTCTGTCCGCCTCTCACTCTCGGTCTGGAAGTCGACGGTGTTCATGAAAGCAATCGGGGTCGAGCTGATTGAGCTTAAATTCGGAGACATCTGTGCCGTTGCAGGCGGATTTACGGTGACCGGGACCGCGCGCTGAGACTGCCCTAGACTGAAATGCTCAGATGACTCGGCTCAACATAACCAGGATCCTTACCCACTCTGCGCGGTAGGTTTTCTGCTTTGGATAAGCACGACAACGGCTTCCTGGACCTGCGATCGTTTCATGAAGTGTCCGCACCCTGCTTGTTCACTTCGGTTTGCTGTGTCGGGGCCACAGGGAGCTGCACCTTCTCGAGGTGTGTCGAGACCTGTCGTCCGATTGCATCCCGTGCCAATGAGCTCTTCCACGACATGGATCGTTCCAAGGCAGCCGAGTGTGAGGTTTGAAGAAGAAGAAGCGATCTGCCGATCTGCTCCGTGCCAGTCTGGAGTTGTGACCTTTTCCGACTTCGAAGCATACCTTGCTGGTGACTGACGGGCTGCGCCTGCCTGTCTACGTGACAGCCATGTTGCTGTCGTTTATCTCGCAGCTGAGCCAAAGTGCTGTCAAGCCGCGTGAGACAATATCCTCATCTCATCACAGCGAGGGCTCGCTAATCTTTCACTTCATTTGGCGCATGCATGTGGTCATCCTCTGCATGACGGGTTCTCTTTGCTTGATGGTTCTCAGCTGTAGCTCCCTGTCCGGGACTAGCCCGACTGACGTGAGCACCTCAGGCCGCACCATCGGCGTGGGCCATGACATGTCGTTTACCGAGGTCCGGTCCATATGTCCGGGCCAGGACCTCCGGACGCCAAAGCGGATGACGTGCAGGCGGGGACAGGCTGAGGCGGCTGAGGCGGCTGAGGCGGCTGAGGCTGAGGCAGCGCAGCCAATTGATCTTTCCAAGGCTCATCCACTGCAAGAGTTGGCGGATGTTCGGCAACGACACCATCAGAGGTCGGGCAGGGCTTCGTCGTGCAGAAGCTTTAGGATTTCAGCGGTGAAGAAGTTGAGCTTGTGTGGACTTCATTCCTCTCCATGTTCTTCTCTTAGGAGGTGACCCTAGTTGTTGTCAATAGTCAGTGTCAACACTAGTCACTAATACGACACCAATATCAAATCTGCCCCGAGGTTTCGCGAGCGGGAGGAGCAAGCTGCGGAAGAACAGCGAAAACAGGAGCTGCGGCAACAGGCCGGGTGGCACTGCAGCAAGGGCTTGGCATAACGCCTCATAAAGCTTCGCGAGCTTCTGCATAGCCTAAAGGATCTCCGAGTCACTTGCACAGCAAATTTGTAATTCTGTAAATTCGCCCAATGCCCAATGCCTTAGAGTAGAGTCTCGGAGGCTTTTCGAATTGCTTTGCAGGGTTGAAGAAAGGCTTTGTGAACGTGAAAGAAAGGTTTTGTGGCATTCTGTGACATCTGTTTGACAGAGAGTTTGCAGTAGACTCGTCGATCACAGAATGTTTTCCACGCTAAAGGGGATCTCACTCTCGCATGTGGGTCTTGCTTGGGGAAGCTTGGGAGAGATTTGGACAGGAGGAGCAGGATGCCGTGCTCGCCCGTGCCCAAGCTGTGCAGAGGGACGGACCCCGGATGTTGCGACGCCTTGCCACGCAACGGAGGCAGAACAGTTTGCCAAAGAGGAAGAAGAGGCCACTGAAATGCCGTGTGCAAGCGAGGCAGCTAAAAGGAGTTTTTGGAGATATCATGTTCATCCAAGCGCTGCTGGTGTCTGCTCCACCACTTCCGCGACGCCAATCTGTATCTGCCAGGCACGACTGAGACAGCTGGAGGCTGATGAGGAGATTCGGCAAGTTTATAAAACGCGGGGTTGGAGGTTGGAAGTTGCAGGAGTATTCTCGACAACTTGCGGCACACCTCAACCCCGGAGGCAAGATAGTCCTTGCCACCGGGTCACCTAGCTGAGAAGCCTTGAACAGGAAGTCACCCACTCCAGGAGTTCCGCTCAGGCGTCAGCAGACCTGAAAAAGAGGGCTTAGGCCTTGGGCCTTCTGCCTGCTGTGGGAAGGTCCGAGTCAGGCGGAGGCCAACTCTGTTCGGCTCCCTGGCTCCCGCAGAACCGCCGCAGAACCGCTGCAGAACCGCAACAGTGCAACAGCCCGTGCCTCCCAGGCAGAAGATGCCGGCGAGCTGGCACATTACCAGCAGCTTGAGGTGCGCATTGCCCCTTCCGTCCTTGCGCAGGCGACGCCGCAGGATCGCTTTACCCGGCTCAGGATTCGGAAGCCGAAGGCTACCGTGCACCAATGCGGACTGGTTACGTCGACCGCCTCATAGACACACCCCAGGCCGCGGCGGCCAGCCGCCATCGTCAGTTCGTCGAAATGGGATTGAAATTCTGTTTTCAAGGGCTATGCTATGCGCGTGCAGGATCTGTCGTGGGCATGGGCAATGCTGCAGGGCCAAGGCCGGATCATGCGTAGGCCCTAGGCCTCTCTTCTTCACGCCCCCTTTCTGCCTTGAGGCGACTCTGCGAGGGAGCCGATGGTTTCTGCTGGGCAAGAGGAGGACCGAACGACTTGCGGCGCTTGCAGCTGGAAGTTCTGAGCTCTGCTGCTCGTGGTGGCTGGCATCGAAGGCGACTTCACTTGCCGCAGGCCGTGGACAGCTGTGCTTGCGTATTGCCGTGCCCCACAAAATCTCTGAGACAGCCATTAGCAGCAAATCCACGTGGTTCACGCAGCCACCGCCGATGAGTCAGAGGTACCTGTTCTGGCCGGTGCAGGGGACCAAGCAGAAGACTAGTCGGTCGGTTCCTCCAATGACCTATGCATGGCCATCCGAGGTGAGCTTGGCATTTTTCATCTATGTGACAGGCACCTCAGGATCATCAGGCGACTGAAGCTTCATGGAGAACACATCACTGTAGTAAAATGTTACAATGTAAGCGCCAAGCAAGCAATCCGTTCTCTAGAGCACAGACGGAAGCTTTTCGGGGGAGGCTGCATGGCAGTGCCTGCAAGCCCCCTGCCGCTTGAGCTGGCCGCCCTTGTTTGAGGCTGGCCAAAAGCCGAAAACCGCAGCGTTTCACCCTCAAAGTTTAGGCGAAGCGATGTTGACACCAGCACGCTCCAAAATTGCTTTGCCGTGCGGCATGCTTGACCATTCTGCTGCTTGGCACATGTCTCAACCCTCCAGCCGCCTCGAGCAGACTCCCAGTAGACTGCCTCACAGTCGAGGGATGCACGTTTATGTTGGCACCTCTGGCTGGTTCCTTTGGCAAAGATTGAAGCAAGCCGGTTCCGCTGCTCCGCTCGCTGGAGCAGAAATCGGATGCCGTCACCTTGCTTCGTACCTCATACCGGCAGCGAGAATCAACCGCGGATCCACGCCAAAGGCCTAGACGACGTCAGCAGCGAATGATCACAACATCCGGTGGCTCTTCGCAAGGAGCTTGCTCTGGGAGTAGCAAAGAACAGGACATGATCCCGAGCCCGTGAGCCCGCGAGCCCGTCCCCCTGCGAGGCGCTGGAGGCAGAGAGAGGAGTACTCCGTAGCACAATTTTTGCAGAATGAAACAGTTTTTTTCTGCTTATTGCTGTCGGTGTAGAACGAAGGCGTCGTCTGTGACGAAACGTTTCATGCACAGATCACGAGGATGGAGTTCTCTGGCCGGCACTCCTCCTGCCCTGTCGAAGCATCGCTCACAGCTCCTGAGTTAGTAGATTGATTAGTGCCGGTTATAGATCATAAAACTCCAAGAGCTGCGGGCAGGCTGCAGGCTTGCATGAGTGGACTTGTACACCCGGGAAAACCGCAGTGCCACTGCGATGCCTACCAGACCAGACGTAGGCTGTACACGGTAACATGGCAGCAAATGTGCACACGACCACTCTGAGAGCGGCCGTGGCGGCACAGTCCTGGCCGCCCCTGCGCACGCATCTGCTCGCAGCGCTGCACGCACATGAACACATTTTCGCGTTGCAGTTCATGTCTGCAGCGTGGCAGGGCCCCGGCCACTACCGTAGTTTTCGGCGATAAGGGGCGCAAACGGCGCAAACTGTAGACCGACTACTGCACATGCCTCCTGCGTTCCCTGATAGGTCCTCTTCAGTGACACAGGATCCCGAGGCAGCAGCGGACAAACACCTTTGACGTGTTTTGGATCGAGTCATGGTCGAACCGACGTCGAAAGGATGGTTGCGACAGTCAGTGCTAAAGGTGCGTCTTCAGTGAATTTGTTGTTCGGCGATCTGTGGGAGTGGTTGGCCAAAGCCATGGCGCTGGCTCTACAGTCTCCCGACTGAGGGCATTGAGGGCGGCCGCGCATGGAGGCCCGTCTTCGAAGCACTGCTACGGCTGCTACGCGTCGGAGGTCATGTTCTGCTTTGCGAGGTTGAGAGCGAGAGGAGTTCAGGCGATGGTCGTCGGAACAAGACCCCGCCAAGCCGTGCAGCGAACCAAGCAAACGTGCCTGGCATTGGGATCACGCGTCACCAAGCAGCTGAGATCAACTGAGTTTCACAGCGGACACCGAAAGCCAGAGGTTTCGCTGTTGAGAGGTTGGCCCTGAAACCCATTAGCCTGCGATCTCCCCCGAGTGTATGGAATTCAAACCGGCTCGGCTTCATCCTATGCTCGGCATATGCCAAAGGTAAGTCGCTGAACTACGCCCACCGTCAGAGTCTGCACAACAGAGATGTGCAGCCGATCAGGCAACCTTACAAGAGTAGTTCTGCGAACAGTAACTCACGAAGGTGGAACAACCAACATCACGGCAAGTTGCACTCTGAATGCTGCAAGACATCATGGTCTCTTGAATAGTCCAGGATGTGAGCACCTCTCTTGATGCCTTTTTGCTTGTTCGCTTCATTTGGAAGGTGGCCTTGCCTGCATCTGAGGCCTCCAGCAGTGACTCCAACACTCTCGACGAGTTTCAGATCTACCAAAGGCCGGAGTCCAGTCGCAGGGACGAAAGGGACCGTGCATCGTCGATCGGGCGCCGGGCGCAGGTTCCGGTTGAAGGTGGTCTCCACTTTCGGATCTATGGCGCCGAGACCTGAGATGCCCGAGCCAGGGAGGATGAATGAGGCCCTGTCCTTTTTCTGAAGCTGAAGGGCTGGGCTCTTCGAGTTCGGTGCCGACCCAGAGACCGGGAGGACTTGGATTCTTGGATGCCGATGCCGGAGCTTGTTCTTCCGCTTGCCAGTCGTGTCCTTGCGCTCTGAATTGCACGGTGTCTGCATCACGGGCGATCCTACCGATAAGATTCGGCAAGGAAACGTCGAAGTTGCTTAGCTAGACAAAACAAGAGTGTGAAGGTCTTCGGCTAGCTAGTGTTCGTGGTTGCGGCTCTGCAGAAGGTCGCAAGCCAGATGGGAAGGTGTGGCTGTGCATAGCTGCACTGACGTGAAATCGGGGCAGTGGCTCTCTGAGCACAAGGATTTCCCGGGAGCGATCGCATTCTTGGCTGCTAGAGAGTTCGGTGGCCCTGTCGAGGAGCCGTTGTTTTTCCATTTGTCACAGGTGCGGGATGAGGAAGCGCATTGCAAACGCAGCAACCAACCCCGGAAGTGGAAGGCCTAGCCAGCCCGAGACTCCGGAGAAACACGTCATACTTTTCAATGCTGCTTGGCTGTATGCAGGGATTGACACCTCCCGCGAGCAGCACAAGGCGGAAGGAACCAACAATGCCAAGCCACGAATCCCAGACAGCTCGAATGGGACCTTTATACCTTCATGTTGATGTCTGAACGCGTAGGCCCGTGCTTGAATACGGTTGGATGCAGTTAAACGGCAGTGCGTCGGAAAACTCGAGTCATCTCCGAAAAGACGATATCGTCTCGTATGCCGGATATGGGCGCAAACATGGGAAAGGGATACGAGACGACGAGCTCCTTTCACGCCTGTGCATTTCGTGCAGGGATAGGGTCGGTTTTGCGGATTAGGCAGTTCAGGTGTTTTGCACGGCTTGGGTGTTTGGGGCATCAGGTTCATGATTGGTTTCGGAGTTTCGGGTGAACTCATGCGCACACTTTCTGTGGGGTGCGCCCCGCTTAGGGTTTGGGGCTTAGGGATGTAACCTGTGCACGTTGCGCGTGGCACTCACGGGTTTCAAGCGTTTAGGGCTTAGGGTTTCACGGTGAGTGCGGCTCTTTGGATGCTTGAATTAATCGTTCAGGGGTTATGGTGTTTGCATCGCTTGTGCGTTGGTTTGCAGCTGGGTAAAGTGGGGTTTCTGTTGTGCACGGTTTGTGCGAGGCTAGGATTTCTCACGGTGCGGGGTTTTGCAGCTTCTTCCTGTGCAAGTTTTGTGTGGACTTCAGAAAGGAATTCGCAGTTTAGGGTTCTGGCACGGGTCGTTGCCTTGGGGCCTAGAGAGCTCTGAGTTTAGGGTTTCGGGTCTTTCCCCTTTTTGAGCGGCTCTCAAGGTTTAATTTGGGGTGTTACGGCTGTTGAATCTGTTGCATGGCTTCTGCAGAGCTGAGGCAAAACGAGGGGCTAGGGTTCCAGAGTAGGGTGGTTAGGGGTTCAGGTCCCCTCTCGGGGTGGGGTGGTGATTGTGCAGCCATCAATGAGCAAAGACTCTGAAGCAAACGGCACCATGATGCCGTTTGGCACGGTGTCGGTGCCGCACATAAACCTCATGACTCATGGTAATTGTGCAGGTTTTTGCAAAAGCTGACCGCAGCTAGCCCAGCGATAGCTAGCTGTTGAAGCGTGCCGGGCCATGCATTGCACCCACTGCAAGCGGTGAGTTTCAGCTGAGCTGGCCGTGTGTCAGGTAGGGAGAGCAACACAGGGGCAACGGATCTCTCAAGAAACGACTTAAGGTCCGTTGTGTCGGGCGGGGGACTTGCAGGATCTCTCGCAGAGCCTTCGTGCAGATTTGTGCGACCAAGCTCGAAATGATGAGCGAAAAGGAGGTCGGAGTCGGAGCAAGCAAGGGTGCCAATTGGTGGCACTTGCGTGGGATCTTTGCAGGCAACCGTGCTCTTTCTCCATTTCACAAACGCAGATCCTTGGAGTGGGAGTGCAGGGGACGCAGTAATCGAACCGAGCATGTGTTAGCACGTTGTCTGGCTTGTGGTTAGCAAGGTCAATGACTATGCAACGCCGGAAGCCAATGCTCGACTTTCTTGCCATCCCATCTGGCACGTTTCGGTTCGTTGGCTGAGGTACAAAGACCTGAGCATCACTGATGAGGCACTCGGCCGTGAAGCCAACAGCACCAAACCGCGAACCACGCACCAGCTGCAGAGGAGTGGGCCTTTGTGGTGGCCAGCAAGCAGGAGGACTGTAGCTGAGATTTCATCACCGAGTGGCGCAAGATGCCGCCTGCTTCAAGGCAAAGTCTGCAAACTCTACGGCTATACCTTTTTCCTCGGCTCCATCAGGCGGACCGGAAGATCGAGAGCACAGTTGGATTTGAGGTTTGAGCTGATATGTCCTCGAGGTGTGAGCACAGGGCTGTATCACCGATCCATTAGCGCAAAAGGCTTAGCCGCAATTCTTGTGATCTCGACTCCAGAGTCCCCCGATCTGGCATTACAAGTTCGTGTTGGCCAAGGTGAACCAGGTCAGTGAGCAGCGAACTGCAAGGGCATTGCCTGACATGTGTTACATCGCAGAGTGATTCGCTGCTGTCTGCTCATGTGGCAGGAAACATCCACGCCCATGAGTCAAGGCAAGGTCTGGCTGAACTAACTAACGCCAGACTTGAGCTAGGTCGCTAGGCCGCTACGCTTCTTCTCAATGCAGCGACGCCAGGAAACAGCGCGGCATCGGCAACAAGCCAAGCTCGCTTGACAAAGCTGTCGAGCTCCTCGAAGAGGCCACACCGTCGCCGAATTGTGTGGGCTTCAAGCTTTTGGTCCCTCCAGCCCCTTCACATGACTTCTAGGAGCGTGCCATGGCGGCAACAGCAGAAACCCTGGGACAACTCCTCAGCGACATCTGAAGCTTCATCCTTAGACGTGGAGCCATTCATTTTCCGTAGGCTCCGTCGGTAATGGCCGGCATGGACTTGCCTGTGGCAATGGAGGCCTGTGCGAGCTCATCTTAGCGGGTACCAGACAAATACCAGAATTGCAGGCGAAAACCGCACTCTGCTTCCGACCTCGTCGCAAGCTTAGGAAGCTTGTAGTCACTTCGAGTCCTTTCAGTTCCATGCAAACCTGGCTGCTCTTGAGCCTTGACCGAGGTGGGCAGACTTTTACTACCAAGGGCAAATCTTCACTTGGTCAGCCATGGGTTTCGAGCGCATCTTACAGACTGTGATCACTTCGAATTTCCGTGGAACGGCGACAGCTGAGGAACAACGATACCCACTCCCGTAGAGGAGTCGCGACCCCAGCTTGAATCGGATGCAAAGATGATGCATCCGCACGCAGCGAGGAATGGCGGGCGCAGGCACGGAGAACGGAGAGCTGTAGTTGAACTCACCTGTGTGGCAATTTTGCTTCGAGGCATGGCGATGCCCTACAAGTCGGCAAGAGATGGAGCCGGTCGTCTGCGCCAAGCAGGCATACAGTATGTAGTCCACACTTCCTCCCGCCAAGTAGTACTTAGTGCGCTTGGCTTTGCCAGGTCGCGGACTGGTGGCCCTACAGCAGCCCTCCTCCGCCTCCAAGATTTAAGCTTAAGCGGAAAATGTGAAGCTGTAGCTGGAGCCTTGCTCAGAAGAAAGCGTCCTCCAGCATGTAGCGGCGTCGGCGTGCAGAGATGCTTCACTGTGACGTAGTAGTTCCCGAGCGTACTGCAGCTGCAGCAGCTGCAGCCAGATTTACGTCGGTCAGTTTCAGTCGCAAAAGGTTGCAGTTGGTACTCGCTTCAGTCTTCCAGAAAGAACCCAAGGCGCACCCACTTATGCAGGGTCAGGCATTTGTAGCCCAGCAGCTGCATTGAAGAAGCAGCAATCAGGTTCTCTTCTTGGCTTCGTGGCTTGTTGGCTTCTCTGCTCTTTTGCTGGCTGCCTGCTTTGACTGTAGAAGCAGAGGACATTGCAATGCTGCACTAGGTCACTAGGAACACATCTCACAGGAGTACTGTGGTAGTGAGTCATGTTGCTTCCTGACGTGCAAAACTCTGCGATATGAAAGACTGTTGCAACGACTCTCGGCTACTGGGGTGGAGCTCTTCCTTGCAAACGTCCCGAAGCACGAGATGAGTCACAATGAACGTGACGGTGCCTGTTGTCGGTGCATGTGATCGATCAACTGCAGGCAACCACGGATACGGCCAACAGACAGCAGAGACTCCATGAGCTTGCAGGACACTCTTCGCCAGCTGTCGTGCTGGTGTTTGATCAGACTCGTCGCATGGCTTTGTCAAGCGATCATGTTTGAAAGCTGACGGAGACCCACAGGCGGCAGCTAGGAAACTGAGCTCACTGCACTTGTCTGGGTGTCATCGGGTCACTTCGGCTCCGCGAACTCGGGCCCCAGCATGTAAACCATGCAGCATATGTTCGGTCAAGAGAAGCTGGGAGGCTAAGCAGCCCTCGACCATTCACCAGCTTGAACCAGGCAAACTTCAACATCCTTGAACCACGAGTCACTAGTCACTAGCTGGCATGCAGCCTCCAGCTAAAAAGCAAATAGCCTCCTACTGATACTGTTGCTTAGAGCCATCCGAATCGAATCGACGAGACTTGGAGCGGATAAAGCCATGGCGACCGTGCAACTTCCAATGACGATGGAGGCCACAGGATGGCACAGGCCGGCTGCGAATGAGTAGGTCTTTGCTCTGCCTTTTCGAGGCACTTGTCGGTGGCCCAGAGATAGAGGCAGGAAGCGAGCCGCACTTCTGCCCAGCCACTTGGGCCGCAATGGTGCGAACAGGTGAAGCCGTGACAGAAAAGGCCTAGTCTCCTTAGCACTGCAAACAGGCCAGACTGGACTACACTTGCAAGAATCCTCTGTTTGTAGCCGCTTTTGGAAGCCACATGCGACGAGGTCAAAGCTTTGCCCATCAAGCGAACCCATCGCGTGCCTCGGCCACGCGGCGTTTTTCTCAATGGCTCCACATCTTTGCTCTCAGGTGAGGACATTGCCAGGCTTTCACCTGCTGTGCCTCGATGCAGGCAAGGAGGTTCCTTGGCGAGGACCAGCCCAATTGAAGCATTCCTGCAGCTGATGGGTACCTGAACTCACACTTCACTAGCCCAGGCCATGGCGCGAGGAAGCTACGAAGCCTTCGGGCAGCGTTTCCACTGCGAAAGCCTCGAGTACCTGCACCAAGATGACAAGGCCTCCAGCAACCGGCAGTCGTCGTGGCAGACACTTCCGTGATTCTGCAAAAAAGTTACACATCAGTCTACAAGCTTTGCCGAGAACTGTTGCGAGGTCTTTATATGCCCACAGGACCAGAAGGCCAGCATCGGCAAACTTTCATGCTACTGCGATTTAGAGGATTTAGAGCTGCCGAGATGCGAGGCTTTTCTGAACCAGATGTCCATGCGCTATCATCAGTACATCAGGCATGAGCTGCAGGATGCGCCTCACTGACTCGATGCGGAAGTTCTGAGTGCACGATGGCCAGACAGAGAGCAGAGAGTCTTGAGGAGCGCAAGGAGGAACGGAAGCGTCTTCGAGAGCGTGCCGAGGCGAGCGGGACCCGGGACCCGGGATCCGGGACCCGGGACCGGCAGGGAAGCGTCCTGTCGACATCGGCTTGGGCACTGGCAGGAGAGGAAAGCTAGAGCTGATCGGCGACAGCAACCCGACAGCCTGTCAGCAAGGCAAGATTGAGCCGTCCTGCGCATTCTAAGTCAAAAGCCGCGAGAGCGACTTACTCAGCCAGTCGCCCGTGTGCGGCCTGACACATTCTGGCACCATCTGGCACCTCCGGGCAGAAGTTATATGGATGAAGGAACGATTGAATGCAACAACATGAAATGCTGCGAGGCACCCAGAGTAGAGGAAGATCAAGGAGATTGCGAGAAGCTGCGCACGCGAACGAATGTGTGATGTGTGGTTTCTTTTGTCGCTTCGTGGGTGGGAGAGTTAACCAGGATTGCAGCCTCGAGCATCAGGGGGCCAGGTGATCCCAGCATGATCACAGAGACAGGAGAGGAACAGGAAGACAGGTCTGGCGAGCCAGAGAGCGAATCGTGATGACGAGGCTTTTCATCCCACAACTTGTGCTGAAGCGGAGTTCGAGGAAGTCGAAACGCTCCTGGCCATTGCAGTCGATTTTCCAATCTCTCCGCAAGGGGTTTCAAGCATGGACAACATCAGCAGGAAAACCGCGGGTATGAGGACAGGTTTGAGTCTCCTGGCGAAACGACGTCGCCAAGTCGCTCTTACTAGGCACGGTATCGTTCCAAATTTAGGGCTGGATCGGGGGGTACCGTATTTTTTTTGTCAATTTTTTCTGTTTTTTTGCTGTCTATTTTTCTGGTTTTAGGTTGAACGCAAACGAAAGAAAGAAAGAGAGAAACGGAGGCCGGAAAGAAAGGAAGGAGCAAAGAAACAAACAAAGAAAGCAAGAAAGGAAGACACCAGGAAGAGGAGAAATAAAGAAAGGACGAAGGACAGAAAGACAGGAAGGAAGGAAAGAAGGACGACAGAAAGAAAGAAAGAAAGAACGAAGACGGGAACAAAGGAAGAAAGCAAGACAGCAACACACCAGAATGGGGAGAAAAAAAGAAAGGAAGGAAGGACAGAAGGACAGACAGAAGCAAGGAAATAAGAACGCAGGAAGACAGAGAGACAGAACAGAAGAAGTGAATATCGAAAGACAGAAAGCCAGCAAGGACGACCAGAAGGAGTGCTAGAAAGAACGGAGCAAAGAAAAAGCCCAAGAACGAAAGCAGGATAATTAGACAGCAAGAAGCAAAGACCAGAGACCCCGCTGTTTTGAGCTGTGTGCAACCTTGCTTGACAGCATAGACGTCGTTTTTGAAACCCACCCTGCATAAAATATAAGTCTTTTTGAAACAATGCCATTCACCATGCAAAGAGTCTCTCTGCAAATGGAAAGCCTGCCCCGGGCGTGCGAGAGTGCCGAGCTTGCTTGACAGCATATATGCGTTTTGTTGAAAACCCCACCATGCGAGCATCCTCATGAGCTGCCCCCCTTAAACCGCCCCGCCGCATAGATTTTGTTGTAAACCAGACATGCGAGCATCGTGATTGCAAATGGGGGGGGCTGCGCCCCCCCCAACCCCCCCGCTGTGTAAGCCGTGTGCCAGGTTGCATGACAGCATAGGAGTCGTGACAGCACATACGCATGTTTTAACCAACCACGCGAGCATCATGCTTGCAAATCGGGGGGGCTGTGCCCCCCCAACCCCCCCACTGCTTTAAACCGTGTGCAAGCTTGCGTGACCGCAGCTTTGCTTGACAGCATCTATTTTTGTTTAAAACCAACCATGCGAGCATCTTGATTGCCGCCCTTAAACCCCCCCGGCCGCATGTGATTTGTGGTAAACCAGCCATACGAGGATCGTGATTGCAACTGGAAGGGGGTGCGCCCCCCCCAACCCCCCGCTGCTATAAGCTGTGATTGCATGACAGCATAGGAGTCGTTTTTGAAGCCCGCGATGCCTAGGATATCCTAGGATGAATCTTTTCATTAGAAACAACACCCTTCACCTTGTGAAAAGTGTGCTTGCAATTGGGAAGCATGCGCCGGGCGTGCGAGAGTGGCATGCTTGCTTGACAGCACATACGCGTTTTTTGACCAACCATGCGAGCATCATGCTTGCTAATGGGGGAGGCCGCGAGCCGGAATTCCCCAAGAGCTTGACGCAGGAACAAGCCCCGAGCACTGGAATCTCCCAATAGCTTGACGCACAAGCAAGCCATGAACAAACTACACTCCCCCGACAGCTTGACGCACAAACAAACCCTGAAAACTAGAACCCCCCCAATAGCTTGACGCACAAACGAACCCATATCCCGCCAAACCTTTCAAACATAAGCTGGCCGCTAAACCTTAAAGAAAAAGACTCCACCCAGCAGCAACAACAACATGAACACCAAGAGCAGTAGCAACACCAGTAACAAATAACAGCAAAAGGCATGCAACCACAACGAGAACAACAGGAAGAGCAGCAACAACAACGACACCACCAGCAGCAAAATGCAACAACAGCACCAACACCAGCACCAGCACCAACACTTTTATTGGACGCTGAGCGAGCGGGCTCTGCTCATTGCGGGCGTGTGAGACTGCCTTTGCACCTGAGCAAAGGTCTGAGAGCAGAAATGCAAAGGGCTTGGGCCTGAGAGCACTGAGAACAGGCTAACGTAAGGAGAGAGCTACCCTACAAGCTACATCAGAGGCCAACTCATATTACTCAGGCGTGGGTGAGAAACCCTCCGACACCCTCAGTGTGGACTATGGCGTCCCATGTCCACGAACCAATGATTGATGAGCCGTACCCCGCGGGACCGTCACTCAGAGTGCCTGTTGCGTGGCGTCCCACTCATGGTCACTCTCAATCAGAGGCGATGGGCCGTAAGGTCGCAAAGGTGATATATAGCCCGTGGCAGTCAAATTAGAGCAGCGAAAGTCTGCTCTAGCCTTGGCAGGAGCATGTTGTTTACTGTGATCAACCCGATCAGCGCAGTGCAAAGTAGCTGTTACAAAGCTCAGTGCACTCATGAAAGCAAGTAGATGCAATGAGCACGTGGAACGGGTGCTAGTGCTGTTATCTGAGGTAGCTCCGCTTTTGTGGGCAAGCAGATTGCATCGGTAAACGATGTGGCACACCCTGGCGGTTAGCACACTGTGCCTAATAAGGCCGATTTCGGCCATTGGTCAGCTGTGTTGCTGACAGGCGTTGCCTTTCTGGAAAAGCAGCGAGCGTTGCCCGACTAACATGACAGGTATAGGCCGCTATTGCACACAAGCGCACAGTGAGCAGTGGCAGGCTCTACTGAAGATGAAAGCCAAGATCACTCAGAGTGGCCTTAAGCTCACCCGACACACGACCACGGTTAGAAATACAGTAAGCCGCTAGGGTGACGCGATCTGTTAGACTCCAACCTCTTGTACAATGAACATGGTTGTGAGCCGGGAAAATGAGCGCCTGAAAGGCGAGGCCAAAGGGGCGTCCTCTCAATAGACCAAACTGAGTTTCTTCATAATCAGTGCCATGGTAGGATTCCACCCAAACAGATCCCTCGTCATGGTGAGAGAGGCTGAGCAGCAACGTGCCCGTCTTGGAGTTGGTCTGGTCACGATGTGGAGGCGTGCGAACGTTGTAGTTCAAGGAGAAAGTGCTCCATATATGGTCCGGGCAAATGTGCTCGATCAATCGATTGAGCAAGCGACAGAAAGAGCCATGCCGAACCGTGTGAGCGCAGAGACCGACATGAGGCCCGCGAGCAAAGGCACCAAAGGTGACATTATTGGCGTTGCCATCGGAAAAGTGCTGGCGGCCAGGGCGCCATGCGAGGGCACGGACAGCTGTACGCACCGCACACCAGAGCGGTGATTGAGCATCCTGTAGTAGATGCCAGGCTAGGACCTCAGCACGTGGGGCCTGCTCGTCCAGCTCCCTGTAGGGGAAGGGCATGTGCGTGTCAAGACTGCGGAGAAGGCATGGCTGTAGGCAGGCCGTGTAGCGTAACAACTCCTGCATCCGTTCTTGACAGAAGATCTGCGAGGCCAGATGTAGTAGGTCATTGTAAGAGAGCATCCCCGCCTCTGCCGGGATTGACCGAAGCGGCGGCCGAGCAGCCAGCGCTTGCATGGCCTGTAGCAAGAGGTATTCCTCGAGTGCCACGACGTACAAGTCCGGCGGAAAGTCCCGGGTCTGGAGCATGCCGCTAGAGGAAGTTCCTGGCTAGGTCTACTGCTGAAGCCTCAAGACTATAAGCTGGTGCATGATCGTCCATCAGCCCCTTGAACTAACTGTTGTGTAGACAGAGGGCTGCACTCTAAGGGTTTGGGCACCCCTCAAGGACAGAAGCAATGCGAAAGTGACGGATGTCCATAGGCATAAGAACCAGGCCAGCCAGCCGTAAGGCAGCGCGCGATGCAGGGACGCAGGACGTTGCCTGGCATCAAACCAGGCGTTGCCCGTTCAGCGGCTGAGCGGGGACCATACCATACACGAAAAGTGAGACGAGCTTCGCGAGAGTAGTGGCCAGAAGAAGACCCATAGGGCATAGGGGTCAGAGCGTCGGTACTCCTTGTTCTCTCTGTGTTCAGCCTGCCTATCCCGGCGGCTGCGGAGTTGTTGTCCTGTGGCTCGCTGGATTACAGACACCTTGCTATCCAGGGCCTGACCGTGGGTAATCTTGATGGTAGGGTGTCGATCGCTGGTGGCCTGAAGTATGTTCACATGAGAAGGTTGATGTGCCTTCTTCGTCGCCGCCTCGTAGATGGTCTGCAAAGTAGTGGCAAAGAGGCGAAAGTCATCCTGGGTGGCCACGTGCTTTCCTTCGAATAGGGCATAGGGGACACCATTCTTGATGATGGCCTGAAGACCACCAAGCCAGGTTGTGAGCTTGGGATGAACACACTCGTTGCCAGACCTGTCCACTGTGACCATCGTCAGGTGGCCCGAGCGATGGACGACAAGTTTGCCTGTGATCACGGAGCGCCAGCTAAGGTCCCTGCTGCCATCATCAGATCGCTGGTAGACCGTGCGAAGGCCGGAGAGAACCCTGGGTAACTTCGCCAGCGCTTGGAGACGCGCGTTCCATATCGCTGTGAACTCCTGAGGCTGGAGGACTCCCACCACTTCCGGAGCCGTCAAGGACTGGAGATCCGCCACAGCCACCACCCAAAGTTCTTCCATAGTGGGAGTGGACTCTTCTGGCTCCGGAGGAGGAGCTTCCGGGCGATGTGGTGCATCCAGGATGGCTGGCCGCGGTGCCGCATTGGGCGGAGGGGAGGCAGGCTCATTGGGCCTCTGGCCGCCCGGGATCGAAGAGGAGGACGCCGCCGAGCCGGAGCGCTGATCCGCTGCTCTGTTATACGCTTCCTGCCCCGCATGATGCCATGTTGCGCCTCCGCCACGAGTTTTCATGAAGTGCATCAGCAGACCATTGGAGGTGTGGAACATGGTAGATCCGCCTGACCTGCTCCGACAGAAGGCACAGCACAGGGTGTCACCATGTTCTGAGGTGCCAATGCTCAAGCCCCTCGGGATGAGCTCCTGTACCTGTTGTTTGGAGAGCTCGCCGTAGTACTGGGGCCACGCGTCAATGAGCTGCTCGATCTTTTCAAGGAGATTGGTTTCGAGGGCCTCAAGGACATGCGCCTGGATGGTTGTGTCGGTGGGCACCCGGGCCGGGGAGGCGTTGCCTCGCTGATCTTTGGCGTTGCCCGCTTCCTGAGCTTCATGAAGAGCAGCTGGAAGTCCGCGAAGCATGGCATCATTGTTGGCTCTGGTAGAAGCCGGGTCCGCCTTCCAGCCTTTGTTCCAACCCCAGCATCTTGTCAGTGCGACAAGCCGATTGGTAGCTGTGCGGAAGCCATGACCCTCATTGGGAGGAGCACCCTGTATGTGCTTCAAAGCCTTCTCCAGGACCTCCTGCAGCAAATAGATGGGGCCCATAGTTTGGGTGAGATGCCAGCCAGGGGCCAAGCTTCGGCCTTGTATGCCCGGATGCAGAGCCTGGTCATTGAGTAGATCCTGACGTATAATGTCAAAGAGTGCAATGCAGAAGAAGAGGTAGGTCTCATTGATAGTACCCTGCGCGTCCACAAATTTGTGCTGGAACGCATGGCGCAAAGCCGCCGTGAGGAGAGGATGCTGATGACGTCCCAGAAGAATGCCCTGGAAGATATGGTCCTTTTTGTGACCGATAGCCGTGAGGAAGTAGTCAGGCGGGCCATTGACCCGCAACGCATCAGCATCCCACCCATAGGCTTTGGAAGCCAGCTCTGTGAGGAGCGGCTGCTGCTTCCACTCTGCCACGATGGAAGAGTGAAGCTCAAGCGGCGTGATCAAGAATGCCGTCTTGATGTCGAGGTAAAAACCTCCACGTAGCCAGTGCTCTACATGGCGGAAGACATCCGCGCGATGCGCATTGCTTTTGAGCTTAGAGAGGAGGCGTTGCCCCGCGCCACCCGAGACAAAGCGCACCACTTCCAGGCAGGCCTCGTCATTGAAGAATTCACGGCGAAAGTTCGCGAACTGCGTCGCCGCCATGTCTTTGGGGCCAGCCATATCATCGTGAATGAAGGTCTGGAACAGGCGCCGCAAGATTGGGAATTGTCCATAGGGAGTTTGTCCAGATGGCACCTTCAGGAGGTACGCCTTTTAAATGGGGAACTGCGCTTGACTGGCGGCTGCAATCAGCAACTCACGCAAGGTGGTTGATCGGACGAGCGCGTGTGTGGCAAACATCTCCTGGTGAATCATGCCCTGAGTCGCATTCCAGGAGCAACACAGGAAGACAGGCAGAAAAGGAGGAGGAGTGTTTGGCGTAGGCGGCTCTTCAGTTTGTCGAAGACCACCCGTAAATGGGGAAGAAGCCGGGGTTTGGGGGGCGTTGCCTTGCCAGCGCCAACACCACCACCAACAACCACAACAACAACAACTACTACTATTACTACTACTAATACTACTACTACTACTACTACTACTACTACCACTATTACTATTACTATTACTATTACTATTACTATTACTATTACTATTACTATTACTATTACTATTACTATTACTATTACTATTACTATTACTATTACTATTATTATTACTATTACTATTACTATTACTATTACTATTTCTATTTCTATTATTATTACTAGTACTATTACCATTAGTATTCCTATTCCTATTCCTATTCCTATTCCTATTCCTATTGCTATTGCTATTGCTATTGCATTGCTATTGCTATTGCTATTGCTATTGCTATTGCTATTGCTATTGCTATTGCTATTGCTACTACTAATACTACTACTACTACTACTATTACTATTACTATTACTATTACTATTGCTATTACTATTACTATACTATTACTATTACTATTACTATTACTATTATTATTACTATTACTATTACTATTAATACTATTACTATTACTATTACTATTTACTATTACTATATTACTATTTACTATTACTATTACTATTACTATTACTATTATTATTACTATTACTATTACTATTACTATTACTATTACTATTACTATTACTATTATTATTACTATTACTATTACTATTACTATTTGCCATTACTATTATTATTACTATTACTATTACTATATTACTATATTTCTATATTTCTATATTACTATATTACTATTACTATATTGCTATATTACTTTATTACTATATTACTATATTACTATATTACTATATTACTATATTACTATATTACTATATTACTATATTACTATATTACTATATTACTATATTACTATTACTATTACTATTACTAGTATTATTACCATTAGCATTCCTATTCCTATTCCTATTCCTATTCCTATTCCTAGTCCTAGTCCTATTCCTATTCGTATTCGTATTCCTATTCCTATTCCTATTCCTATTCCTATTCCTATTGCTATTGCTATTGCTATTGCTATTGCTATTGCTATTGCTATTGCTATTGCTATTCCTACTACTACTACTACTACTACTATTACTATTACTATTACTATTACTATTACTATTACTATTACTATTACTATTACTATTACTAGTACTATTACTAGTAGTAGTACTAGTACTATTACTATTACTATTACTATTACTATTACTATTACTATTACTATTACTATTACTATTACTATTACTATTACTATTGCTATTGCTATTGCTATTGCTATTGCTATTACTGTTACTATTACTATTACTAGTACTATTACTATTACTATTACTATTACTATTACTATTACTGTTACTGTTGCTATTACTACTACTGCTGCTACTACGACTACTACAACTACTACAACTACCACTACCGCGACTACTACAACTACAACTACAACGACAACAACAACATCAACAACATCATCAACACCAGCAGTAACAACAACAACAACACCACGAAATCCGTACAAAATGCGAAAATGCACGCAAAAGCCGATTTTCCCGAGGAATCTTCAAGGCAACGTATGTTTTCCTGCTGAAAACCCAAGGAAACGACACGGAAGCCGTAGGAAAACAATGTTTTCCCTACGAAAAACCAAGGAAGACTTGAGGAAATCACACGGGATCCGTAGGAAAATAGCGTTTTTTCGAGGAAAAGCTAAGCAAAACCCAAGGAAATGACAGAGAATCCGTAGGAAGATAGTGTTTTACGAAGAGAACGGACCAACAAAAAATACCACCACCCACCCCCCCCCCCCACAAAAAAAAAAGACCAGAAAAACACAAAAAACATTCTCCAGGTCGTTGATCTTTCAGCATTAGGGCAAAGGTGCAGTAATCAGTGCGGATTAAGGTTCAGCAGACATGGGCCATACAATCTATTTCTACAGTCCCAGGCGCCTCTCCACCCAGACCACAACCGCAGAGTCTTAGAGTTTCAATCCAGAAGCTTCGCGGATGCTATAAGCGCGCGGGGCAAAAAAGAAGTGTGAGAGACACACGGCAGCATTGTGGCAGGAGCTTCTGACAGTCCAGCAGCTGCCGCGAGACGAGCGAAGAAGTTTGGGAAGCTTTGAAACCGAAAAATCCACAAAAATCCAGAAAACATACGCAAGGAAGAATTCCAGTCAGAGGTGGAGAACGGTCACGGCCACCAGGCCAGATTCTGAAAACCAAGGAAAGCAAAACTAAAACCAGGAAAATATACAAAAAAACAAGAAAATTACACAAAAAAGAACTCCAGTCAGAGGTGGAGAACGGCCACGGCCACCAGGCTAGATTCCGAAAACCAAGGAAAACAGAACTAAAACCAGGAAAATATACAAAAAAAACCAGAAAAATAGACAAAATAAATACTCGCTCCGGGATCGGGCACCAGCGAAGGCTTCCTTGCAGATTCATGGTGCCGAGGAGTGAAAAGAAAGCACACCACACCTCTAAGTCACCGTAAGTAAACTTGTGATCAGTGGCGGAAACCTCGAGAGCACCCGCAGACTTTCACTGGACACGCGAAATCCATTCGTCCCTGCACAGCCCATTCTCGCATGCGAGGGCAGTCGCTGCGGACCCGGCTCCTGCGGTTCCTGCGGTTCCTGCGGCTCCTGCTCCTGCACTTCCTGACCAAGGCGTGTCGAAGCAAACCTGGGAAGATCGCTGAGCCAAAGCCCATGGCAGGCCTGGAGACGCGTCCGAGCAGCCTCGCGGATGTTCCCGAAACGCCACCGCCAGTCAACGAGGACGGCCCGTTACCGCTGAGGGGCTGCGTGTGCAACATGTCCTTTCCACCTCCCCCTTGTGCCCGAGTCCCGAGCCTTGATTCGGCCATACTGTGGTGTCTACATTGTGGGTCTGTTGTGCGAGCTGAGGACTTTCAGGAGGCTGGCGGCATGGACAGTCTTGAAGATCGCACTGCACGCTGAAAGTGAAAGTGTCTACCTTTGACGAAGGTCAAGTTGCCGAAGCCGAGGAATGAAGCAGATCCAAGGCATGCCCCTCTTCTCTGTCACAGTGGACTCATAGAGTTTTTTTTTGTTGTCTCTCTTTCTCTCTCTCTCTCTCTCTAGCGCTTTCTCCTGTTCTCCGATCCGTTTCTCTTTCAGGCTGGCCTCCACGCTCGGCTGCCCAGGATGAGGAAAGCATCCACAACATCATCGTGGAGTTCTGGTAGAGGGTAGGCTCTTTTCCTCGCCCGCTGCTCCAAGTCCGGTACTTCTTCACGGGCTTGGAGCATCTCTAAATGAAGGACTTTTTGAAGAGCTTCACAAGCAGCCTCCTTTTGCTGGCTGGTTCCTTCCAGCCACCCCGCCGTACAACATGGATCGCTGCCCAGCGAGGGGGCTGTCAGAGAATGCGCAAGCGGTGCAAGTAGGGGGCCTGGGATGTGGTGCCGGGAGATTTCGAGACCAAAGCGTGAAAAGATTAGTTGACACTTCATTGTAGCAGACTATCTGCATGATGATGCAAGTCTGTCGTTCGTGCGCTGACGTGAACTGCTTTGCTTTCGCACGCTTCGCGTGACTCTGCCATTTGTGTCGTCGGAATCATAGAACAGCTCGCTTATTGTGGCGGACTTGCATGTTCTTCCTTTGGAATGCTGACGCCCTAACTCCCTCCTTTGTGACACGTGTTTGCGCGACTGGGACTTTTACTGGGCCGCAGGATGCTTTGTGCAAACTTCTTTTTCCCCCTGTGTGCGCAAGTACAGTGATGACCTGTCATGAACCTGACAGAAACCTGGTGAGAAATGTTGTGCTCTTTGCTTCTCTACCTTCCAGAGCCGAAACACTCTGGCGGTTTCAAACCAAAGGGGGTCGGGCGCAGCAGACAGAGGCCCCTGGTACCGCGCAGCGCAGGATCGCAGACTCACGGGCGTAGCTACGAAACTTGGGCACGCGTGTATGCAAAGACCTTACAGCATCGTGCAGCCTTTGCCCACCCCCCCCTTCGCCAATGTCTCTGGCCAGTCAGACCCTTCAACCTCATTATGCGCCCAACCCTAGAGCGTACCCAAGCGAAGATTTGGCGTTGGACAAGCTACTTGCGCGGATTGATAGAAGCCATCAGGGTCACGGTCATGGTCCGCGTCAGGTGCGTTTCGGTGGGCGCCTGCTGGCCAGTGACTTTGGTTGAAATTGTAGTCCCTGGGAGCAAAGCGGGCAAAGCCGAGGATGCTTTGCAGAAGAAAATACTTTGTCTATGTCACTGTCGTAGACTTGCACAGGTTTGGTCGACAGCATGTCCTGTAATGTTGAATGGTCGAGCGACCTACAAAGGCCATGTAAAGCTTGGCTCCACTGGATTGAGTGGGCCATGCCACCAATGCTACGCAACATGGCAATGCAGCGGCCACCTCTCTTGGACAGCCTGTCAGTAACAACCAATCCAGGAACCACGCCGGGCCAGGGCGCAAGCCCTTCAACACGTCAACATTCGAACAGCATGAGCCATCCGCAGGAAATGCTGCAAGCCCCCCGATGCTTCCCCAGCAGCAGCATAGCCCTATGCATTGCTTTGTGAGGTTGACACCTCTTCCGGTCCAGACGCCAATGACACCAGCGAGCTTGGCTAAGAAGCTGTGTTCTGGCAAGTGCAATGCAGCGAGTGCACAAGCTCGAGAAGTAAACGTCTGCATGCGAGCTTGCTGTTCGTGCACAGTGAGCAAGTGAAGCAGAAGCTACGTTGCAACATTCCATCGAGTTCAAGGCCTTCGACGCAGAAGCCTCCCGTCGATGCAACAGGCTCAGCAATCTGATCTTGCAGGATGCACAGAGCCAGTGCCAAAAGGCAGCTCTGTGTGTGGGCGTGCTGGTGCTTACGCGCCTAGGACGACCTCTATGGTGATTTGGGGGGAGAGCAGGCGAGGCGTGCTGGGTTGGTCTGAGAAGGGCAGTTTTGGATGTTGTATCGATCGTGCTAGGCGAAGAGACAGAAGACTGGCTCCGCCTATGCAAGTGCGATGACGGCGATGATGACGGGCGACTTTGATGACGACGACTGAGCCTGCCTGGATCAGGACGCCAGACTCTGGAGGATTGGGTACGGCTTGTCGTATCAATCATGTGCCGTTCAGGCACCGACTACCTGCAAAAAACAGCTTGCCTCGCGGATCGACTTTCCATGTATTCCTTTTTGCTGCAAACCTTTTTGTAGAGCAGCCAAATCCCTCTGATGCTCTGCGACTTCGTACTGGTGCTGCCATAAGCTGGTTCGTGGGTTCGGGAAAACCTCCACCTACGCCTGTGGCTTCGCGAGTGACCCAGCACACGCTTTGTGATTGGGGTTATGGGTTCGTGGAGCCCAGGCCCACAGGCACCACGAGCCTTCGTGCATTTCACATTTCCTGGCAAGGAGCTCAGAACTTGCCAGCCATGAGGAGGGAATAGCATCTATGCACACATGTTGTTTAGCATTGTAGAAGTTCAACTTCCAGGTGACGAAATACCCGCACAATGCTGCTGAAACTGTTTGCCGCTGTGGCAGCGCATGTTGCAGCTGCTTCCGATGCCTCACTGGAGGATTGCACGCAGCAGAATGGACATCACTTGCGAAGTGTTTGAGTTGGGACGGGATCTTCCCTGCGATTCGCCCATGTGTTTGCTGGTGTCTCTTCTCTGATTATGAGAACTCTTCGATGTTTTCAGTCTCGATCTTAATCGATTGCCTTGTGGAGCATGGCCTGGTCTAGAAGGTTTTATTCTTGAGGCACCACGATCATCATCCGAAGCTGGGGCTTAAGCTGTGTCCCTCTTGGAGGACCAGCATTTCAGGCTTTTTTGGGGCTGTCTCCTTGACCAGCTTCTAGTCTCGATCTTTCGCTATGGCTGAGCAATGAGCACGCCTTTTTTCTGAAAAGTTGCGGCAGGCCCCTACTGATACTTGCGCGGAGGATGCCTAGTCGATGAGGAGCGGTCAGTCGCGGATCGTATCTTGGCTGCTGAGTTGGCTCGCCGTCGTGTCGTTCCTTGGTGGAGACCTTCGCGGCCAGTGGCAACCTCGTCTTCGGTGCTCGTTGCGAGGCGTAGCCTGCAGCCATCACTGATAGCATGGCGGGGCTCGAAGGCGTCGGGGTGCTTGAGTACCCGGCGGCATCTGCCTGCATGGCTCCGGAGCTCCGGTTCTTTTCCGAGCGAGTGTCCTCGAACATGGGTGTTATGTAAATTGGAGAAGTTGTCGGATGAATAGCTTGAGGCTTAAGGCCCCTCTTCGTGCTTGGGCGGGTTGGGAATCTTGGCGTTCTTTGCGCTGCCGTACTGTACCAGCGGTCATCAGGATGTCATTTCCTTCTTTAACTTCATAGAGCACGTAGTTGCCCACAGCGGCAAGATCCACCTGGCATCAAGTTCAGTTTTTCGCGACAGGTTGGGCTTGGGCTTGCCGTTGGCTGATACTAAGGACTTTGGCATGGGAAAGGCCAGAGGTCAGCCGGTGGTTCAAGCGAGAGTCGTGGAGCCGGCCTTGGTGGATTGTTGTCTTGCATATGCTGGCAGCATTGGCAGGAGTCTTATTTTACCCACGACGATGGTTCTTTACTGCACGCACACTGTATACATGGTAAGCGCTGGGTGCAGGGTGTGAGGCCCCCGTGCTCGTGGACGGTCCCGCTTCTCAATGGGTTTCGTGCAGGCCTTGCGGGCATCTGCATCCCCTGCAGGCACAGGCCATTGGGCATTGGCAGGAGCTTCCTCACAGAACTGAAGTTGGAGGAAATGAAGGGCTGACAGCTATTCTGGGGTTAAGCATCAGGTTGCAGGCAGGATCCAGCTGGCGTGCTTCGCCATTTTTTTTGATATGGTCTGGCGAGCTCTGCCGGTTCCTTTGCCGGAGAAGTGGAGCAGCAGCCCTGTTTCGTTGACGGCGATGTGCTAGCATGGATCACGCACCAGCTTTGCGCATGCTTGGTCACCCCAGGGCGGCCTTTCATTTCAGGTTAGGGGGGTTATGGCCGCTTCATCTGCCTTGGATTCAGACGCATACGGCTGATGGTGGCCTGGCTTCCTGCTTAGCAAGGCTTAGCCATTGCGAGGGTAAAGCCCGAGTAGGATGTCTGCTTTTACGCGTGGGAGGTCGAGTTGGACACCAAGGTGATGGCTGGCTTTGGAGGCGAGCATCATCACCGGGCATGAAAGTCGTGGAGTCGGCTTAGGTTCGCATGGCGTGGCAGTCAGCAGGCAAGCTTCTCAGGATGTGGCAGAGGCTCAGGTGCAAGAAGCCGTACCCGGAGTTTTCACTAGATCCTGCTCTGATGGGGGCCTCTGCGATCATTCTTTATCGGGAGTGGGTCCAGTTCAGCCGACAAATGTGGTGTACCTGCAGAAGATGCGGACTGAGTCATCTTGGCACGCAAGTTTTCGAGATGTCCTTGCACGTTGGGGTATTCAGACACAATCCTGCGAAGGCGGTTGATGTTTCGGAAAGTGCCCAATGTCGCATGGCATGTCACATGATGCAACGATGGGCTTCGGGATGAGGCGTCCGAATTTGGGAGAAAAATCCCCAAAGGAGCCAACCGTGCCACTCGCAGAAACAAAAGCTCTGCAGACATCAGCTGACTGCAGTAAGGACCTACCTCAAGAGCACTGCTAGCCACGTTCTCAAAGAATGTACAAACGTCGAGTCCTCGGGCCTTCTGCAGGATTACACGTCTCGTTGTAGATGCGCATGAGTTCCTTCGTTTGATGGGACCGATGATCCCTGAGGCCACGATGACAGCGATTCAAGCTGAGTTGCCCTGCGACGGGCTACCGCCTCCAACTATCACACCTTCCATGTCCTTCCATCATGCTGCGCTTCAAGAAACACCGAATCATCGAGCCACGAAATCCTCACACTGCCACGAGATCGCATTGGGAAGCTCCGCTCGGTTGATGCAGGGTCCTGTTCAACGGCGATTGGGTATACACGCAAGCCCAACCAAGGTAAGCGAACAAAGTACCCAGTGCTGACCAGCAAGTCACCTCAACCCTGCCAAGCAATTGGCTTAGACACCTCAAGCTTGTAGCATGAACCTCGCGATCAATGGCTGCACTCCTGAGCCTGAAGCTGCAGCGCGAGCCGACCATCCACGAACATGCTGCCAATCACCACATGCGGTGTGTCTTCGAACGGCGCCCGCCGGAAACGATACCACGATCTCCCTCATGATGCAGTTTTGCAGGCTTTCGTTGCGCAGCGCACCGTAGATCAAGTAGATTCTGATAGATGGTGGCGAGGCCATCCTTTCAGGTTTTCCAAGCACGGCATCGAGTCCGGAAGCATCTTCGAGGCCGCGCCATGCCATGCCATGTCATTTTCTCAAGGTTGGCATGGTGATGTGAAGGAAGCTACGGTGGGCCCGACGTGGGTCAGTCAGAGGAACCGTGCCCTTCTCCAGGCGGCAGCAGGTCGTCAGCGGGCGGCTAGTGATTCAATCAGGGGCCTTGATCACCTGTTGCCGCCAGGCCTTAGCCAACATGCATGCATTCAGGCTTCGTGCGCGTTGAAGCCGCCATTCCAAGTGGGATGCGCAGTGGACCCGACCTGGATTTCCTTGGTGGCAGGAGTGCCTATGCCTCCGTTGTTTTCATAGGCTGGTGAAGGCTTTCCAGCCAGCAAAAGAGTTTCTGCTGGAATCCTGCTCAATGGCAGGCTACTGTGGCTTTGGCGTTGTTCACAGCTGTCCTAAACTGGCCCAATGGTTTTAAAGCCGTGGGCGCCATCGGACCACTGACTGGCATCTTCCACCAGATTTCGCACACGGAGCGCATGTCGGAGGAAGAGTGATTCTTGGGTGAGGCGGCTGAGGAGTTCACGCAGGGCACACCGTAAGCTGATGCTCCTGTGATTTGGGAGCTCACCCAGGATGAATGAGCAAAAAGGTGGTGTTCCGTTTCTTTCTCAGTGGCTCAGCTGGATAGGCGATCTGGTCCTGGATGTTGGCGCCCGAGCGAGATTCCTCATCTCCCAGTGGCCTGGGTCAAGCGGCGATTGATAGATGATGCAAAGCAAGGTTCCCGCAACATGGCCGCAGACATAGAGGAGACCAATTACACTCCGTTGGCATTGACGATCTTCCTGTTTATGTTGATGGGTTGGTCTTCAAGAATGGTTCCCCCCCGACTGCTTGCCTTACCGCCCCGCAGAACCACATTGACAGTCGCGGCCACCTGTGACCCCACCAGGAGCAACTGATGTTTTTGGGTGTACGTGGGCCTCTTCTACGGATTGGCCGCGGCTGTGCTCTCTTTTATTACTTGAACAGAATTCTGATTGCTGGTAACTCTCCTCATTTGTGGCCCCGCCTACTCGTCCATGCAGCAGCTTCTGGACCCAGACTCCGCAGCTGTAGAGACGTGTCAGTTTCGGCTCAAGCCAGTTCGGGCTTGGGGCAAGAAGACGACCCAACCACACTTGGCCACATTCGCCTCAAAACCAGTGTCCGAGTAGACTATGATGGGTCGGCGAAAAGGCTGCGGGACATTGACGAACTTGACCGGTGCCTCCCTCGAGATGGCTATTAGCAGCATTGCCAGCAGACACACCTCTCGCAATTGACATGGTGTGAGACTGCGATCTCCATCTTTAGAGTACTGATGCCGCTTGAGGAACCTCAAAGTCTTAAAGCCAGCCGACCACATTTCCCATGGAGAAGCGATCCCGTCCAGCCCGCGCTTGACCTCGGAGCTCAGCAGTAGGCAAGCCGTCACCATGCCCAGGAGTGGATCGCATCGTGGGAACATGTGGAAGCCTCGCGAGACTCAGGTCTTCGCGGCTGATGCCTTTTTGCTGATTGTTGGTATTGTTGGTGCCTTCGAACCTGCCTCATCGGGCCAGGATACCATTCGGTTCATCGATACCGAGGCAGCGGCATCACCAGCCATTCGAGGAAGCAGTGATTCAGCAGATATTTGACTCCATCGTGCAGTCAGCAGCTTGGCTGCTCCTTCGGCTATAGGTTAGAGGCTCGACTCGGAGAGAATGGATCAACTCGGACTCGAACCGTTCGGATTGATGATCGTTGGACCCAGGAATGGGGATGGGAACTTTCCGTAGCTCGTACCGCCAGTCCAGCCATTCGCGAAACATTGGCGAGTTTGGGAATCGTTTTCGATTGTCAGCATTGCGTTGTTTTCAGGTTGCAGCGAGTGTGCCCACGAGTGGCATCGATTCTTTCCAGCATACGACATAGGTGTATCATTGTGAAGATTGAGTTTCGTGCTCCCCGTCAGAGAAAATGGTTTCCGCTGCATGCATCGTCGTGTGCCATAGAGAATTGATCGCCTTCTGTAGCACGCCTTGGTCGATTTGGGTCTGGAAGGTTCTATTCTGGGAGCGCCACGATCATCATCCGAACCTCGGGCTTAAGCTGTGTCTCTCTTGGAGGACAAACATTTCAGGCCTTCTTGGGTTCACCCTGCCCAACCCCTTTTCTTCTATGATGGGAGTTGTGCTGTGCTCACGGTGGTTTTTCGATACTCTGAGCCCAATGGGCTTACATGGATGTGTCACCCAAACATTCCTCGTAGTCCATATTAATATGTTGCCGGATTCCTCACCATCGGGACTCGTTTCGATTGTCAGCATCGTGTTCGTTGCATGCACGCTTGTGTGCCATACCGAGTCATGATGATTCGGCAACCTCCATCGTCGTTTACTCGGGGACTTGCTTGTAGCCAGTGCCGGCGGATTGCGCAGCTGCATCTACTAAGCCAGCGATGCTTCACCATGCCCCCCGTTCTCGGTATGGGATTTTGTTAATCGTGGTGCAATGCATGACTTTTTCGTCACGACAGAGTTGCTTTTTGCAGATCATTTGCAAGCATTTTGGAAGAAGAGAATATGGGCAAGACAAAAACCCTGGAACGAAACAACTGGCAGCTGCGCGATCCGGGGGAGGGTTGAACGTGTCGAACGAGCAGGATGCCGCGCTGTCTCTCATACAGGGGCATGCGAGGAAGATCGTCAAGACCAAGGTGGGTTTTCCGTGGATGAAGGTTGGCATCCTTGCCGGCGCCTTTTCCGCAGGGTTCGAAGCTTGCCACACAGCTTTCAGCGACGGATGTGCGCCTCCAAGTTGGCAGAAGACACAACCGTTCGGCTGACAGTTGATGCTGATTCGATTTGTTGCTCGTGTTAAGCCAAGCAGAACAGTTCGGAGTTGGTGGCACCGGTCCACAGGCCTTGGCGGACTTTGAAGGTGGAGCAGGATTGTCCTTGATACAAGGCCCATTGGCAGCAGGTTACAGACATCGTGGCTGCAAGACTCAGTTTTTTCGCCTGTGTTGAGGCAACCAGTGTCGACTCAATGCCGTGGTCCTACTTGACATTTGACGCCTTTCTTCGTGTTGATCGCTTCGGCTCATACATCACACGTATGACACTCGTGTCCAAAGCGCGTCATCTTGGCTGAATCGCAGAAACGGATGGGCTTGAGATGGTTTGAGATGGTCGTCAAGGCTGAGCAAGAAGAGCCACCAAGCCGTGCATATGCGGACAACTCCAGTTGCTCGAATTCAGGGCATGGGCGAAGTACTTACCTGCCCAGCCAAGCGAAGCAAAGTCTCTCCTGACCTTGGAAGTCTGAACGCACCCTCGTGACGATCTTCCGAGATGCCTTCACTGGAGACGGGCTGTCGGGAGTAGCATCAGAAATTGCAGCCTGCCACACTTGCTGGAGGTTGATGAGCACTGCGCAGCACCAGCTGGCGCTCGAAGAGTCTCCGTCCCAGGTTTAATGAGTTTGCATACTGGAGTCGAGATGCACAGATAGGATCTTGTCTACTCAGGTAAAGAAGGCCGTCGATCCTGCTATGTCTGCAGCGGTAGCTGATGGTATTGAGGACTGCAGCTACATGGAAATGCCTCCCAAAACATGTCAGTCATAATCAGCTTGCAAAGCTTGCATCGACACACCAATGTCGGAATTTTTGGGCTTAGGGTTTGCTGGGCCCGGCACCTGGCACAACTCGTACCAGCTTGGAGTTTGATGGGTTCCTGGTCATTCAGGTTTGGGCATCAGGCCTGGCCAGGGTTTTGGGGGTTTTGAGGGCCTCAGGATCCCCTCCCTCCGCAGGTTCAACGTGGTCTGTCTTGAGAGGTTGCATGATATCGACAACCTTTCCCGACTTAACAGCGCTTGGTATTCGGCTGCACGATGTGCCCAGCTTCCTCTAGCCCTGCATTGGCAGGACGGTGTGGCTGCTCTATCGCTCTTTCAAGTGACCCGCGGATCGTGGCGGAAGGCCCCGTGATGCAACTAGCCTGTTTGTGCGAAGCTCCGTAGGCAACAGCCTTGAAAGGGCGACGAATGCCACGGGTCGGTCAGAGACGTCGTGGCAGATGAAGCGACGACAGACCAGGCTGCACGGGACTTCCGCGTTTGCAGACGAGTTCAGCCCTGTGGCCTGTGGCTTTCTTGCAGGCGGCGGACTCTGCAGCGACATCCCTCATCCAGCAAGAACGGAGCAAGATCAAAGTCCGAAGAGCCGTGGAAGGCCCAGGCTCAGACTCGCCTTTCGCCTTTGGGAGTTTCGACGGTTTTGTATGGTCCTTTGCAGGTTCGTGAAGTCGCTGACGGGGCCTGTCGAACCAAAAAGGAGGCTTCTTGCTTTGTCTTTTCTTTGCAGAAGATGTCCCCCCGTCAGAACCCGCAAAAACCCAAAGCGAATACCCGGTCGATCCCACGTGTGCATGTATTGAACTCGCATGCAAATACCAGTTCAAGCGCGACCAAGATCAGACTATCCTCTGATTGGATCTTGTGCAGGATCAGTTGGTGCCCTCGTACCGCATCGCGTTGGTCTGTTTAGCCGTTGCCTGCCTCTGCCGCCGTTTAGCCCGACATAGCGTGCTCCCCTTGACCAACCAGGCCAGATCAGATGCGAAGGTTTGTTGCATGGAAATGGCAGATCGCCTGCATGCCCTTTTCCTGGCCGAAGGCTTTGGAAGCCGGCTGTAGGATGTCTTGGGTGCGCGGCAAGTCGGGCCATGGGCCAACGACCTTGCTCACTTCAAGGATGCTTCGAGCGTGGGTTCGTTTCAATTCCCCTTACCCTGCCGCCCGCCTGGACAGGAGTGTCAGTGTTCCTGCCGAACTTTGGAGTGAAGATGACGCCTGCTCCAGCCCAGAGAGAGGCTCCGCTTTGGAACGTGTGAAAGGGCCGAAGCCGAAAGCCGTAAAATCTTTATGAAGTTTGCCTGGCGCCGTTCAAGAGATCGGCGGAAGATGGCAGTGTTGAGCCGCTTGTCGGTCGCAGAGACAATCTGCGCAACGGAAGATAGTTAGTTGCAAAGTGACGTGAGTGCAGGCTGCGTGCGTACGCTGAGTGCCGTCGCTCTGGAGACGATGGCACCAGTGCAACTGGAGGTGCAGAGCAGTGTAGAATGGCAAAAAAGAGCTGCCGTGGTTGCCATGCTTCAGGTTCTTCCTGCGCGGGCCAAGAAGTGGGCCGTGAAGCGCCGCTTTTGGAGTGGGCTCTTGCTGACTATTGCGGTGTTTCAGCCGCACTCAGTTACTGCAGGGAAAGCAGGTCAGCAAAGGGATGCATTCGTCCAGCCAGGTGCTCTTGGGCCTCGAACGCCGTCTGGGCGGACAGGCGCTTGTGTCTTTGCATCAGCTCTCTCGTCGAGTCTATTCGGGGCCACATGAATTCTCGACACTTGACACTGGATCCGGGGCGAGCGCGGCGGCTTTCTGGAAGGGTTCACCCCTTATCTGTGCTCCTGAATGTGGCCTCCATCGTGCCACCAGAGTTGCCCCTGTCCAAGGAGTGAAGCCAATCCCCAACCCAAATCCGAAAGCCGAAAAGGGAATGAACCTGAGCCCGCAGCCAGATACCACGGAGTGAAACCAGCCCCACCAGCCCTAAACCTCAAACCGGAAGAAACCAAAGACCCGAAGGAGCCCAAACCGGAGCTGCAGCCGCAAACGCAAGCGCGCATGAGGAGCTCGGGGAGCAAGGCGAAGCACAGCTTGGCACAAACGACAAGCCACGAAAGCTCCTTTAAATGACCTCGTTCTGATCTGGTTGTGGGTCAAACGACAGTTGAGGGGGCCCTTTGCTCCTGACCAGTCCTGACCTTCTTCCTTGATCAATTCGGAAGCCAGCTGTCTCGATCAGGCGGGGGCCCGCCCCGCAGCCCCCGCGCCAAGGGGTCGGTACAACAGAGCCGCTATCATTCAGCAACATAGCCGCAGCGAACATCTGCACAACCGAAACGAGCTTTGCCATGCGTCGTTCAGCGCAGGCTTGGGGTTTCATGACAATGCATGCGAACTCATTTTCTCTATCAAACTTGGTTGGAAAAGCCGCTTTCGTATTTATACCTGATCCCAACCGAGAATTCTGTGCGCCATTTCGCGAAGACACCACAAAGTGCCACTCGAGGTCCTACCATCTTACTTCCCTTTGCAAGCGAAGCGCGTGAGAGAAGCGGCAGGCCTGCAAGAGCAGAATCTCTAGGTGAGGTAACCCCACAAGGAAACTGCAAGGAGAACAGGCATCCAGCAGCCTTAGCAGAAACGACTCCCGTCGCGGAAAAGGCAGTTTCAGCAAGTTGCAGGTACTCTCGGCATATACTAGTGTGGCCAAGTTGGGGTTTCTGCTTTTGTCGAAGTGTGTCGGCTTCCCAAGGTTGTCCGGGCTCTGCTCTCACGTAAGTTCGACTTCAGGAGGGGCACAAATGAGGCTCAAGTCAATGGCACAAGTCTGAGGGGGTTGCATTGCAAAACCTGGACGGCTGGACGTGGCTTTCACAGCAGACTAGCAGCGAAAGCAGCCTGCAACTGCAGGCTCACCGAAATACATCCTGTGATCAGGTTACAAAATGTTGACATGACAAGCAACAGAACAATCGGGGTGTGTTTAGGCGCTTGATCTTGCAATCTCGAGAGCAGCAAGAGTTCACAGATGTGCACATTGTCCGCCTGTCGTTGATGGCCACATTGTCGTGTTTGAAAATGCCTTTGTGCTCTGCAGGTTATGCAGGCAAACACAGAAGAGGCCGTGTGACCAGGGAAGAAGCTGTTCAGCATCATTATTGAACTATTGATTCCCTTCATGTGGGCATGTGTGGTGCCTTGCAAGTGGCCGAAGACAGCGCAGATGCCAGGCAAAAACGGACGAGAATGATGTGAGCAGGTCATTTCTGAAGGCCCGCTTGCAGCGCTCCAGCAGCATCCGTCCTTGAGCTCCGCTTCTGCCAGGGTGGATCAGTCTACCAGAACGCGTACATGACCCTCTGGAATGCGAACCAGGTCAGCGCATTCCAGCTTCATGCAAGGGATTCACCGGCAGTTCCATTCACGAAAGAACTGTGGCACATGGCCAAGACTCACGTTGCCAGTGGCACAGACCATTTAGGTTGGGCAGGCAGCCGCGTGTGGTCAAGCAACTATTGTCCTTACTTTCATTCTGCCGTTGCCACGCTCGATCCCACTTTCGCTTGCCATCTGACGGCAGTGAGCAAAACACAGAGCAGTACCGCAAGCATACATGGTTTCAGCATGAAAACCACAAGATGGACTCTATCCTCATGTACTCCACTCATGATGTTGTCTGCAAGTTGTCACAGTTGTGCCGCCTAGAATGAAGCTTGCAGACAATTCGTCGCAGCAGCATTTCCCTGAATGACATGAAGTGAGTCATCAACACCTGTGCAGCTGCGCTTCATTGAATCACATGCATCTGCAAATCGTCACCCCCCACGCCCACCGCGACGACGCAGCTCTTCGCGACCTTGCCGCCTGCGGCTGTTTCCTTCCTGCAGTGGCTCTGCGTGGCATGGACGTCCCGCAGCCGCAAAAGGACAGACGGTTCCTGGAGGATCCGTGGTACTGCGCCCTGTGCTTGGGCTTGTCGATGCAGACCTTGCTCGTAGCAGCTTCGCCCTCTCCGACATGTGCGAGAGGCAGAAGGTTCTCCCGTATGTAGGCCTGCCGGCGTTCCTGCGGCATGGCACGCGCGGATACGCATGAGCATCTTGTCCAGCTTGGCGACGCGGAGGGATCTCCGAACTTTGAGTCGAAAGTTATTGTCTCGAGGCCTGCATCGGCCACTCGTCGAAGAGAGACAATTCTGAGGAGTCAGGATGCAGCGTTCCTCGGTTGCTCAACGAGTCTCTGCGGCCAGACACTATCCACAGTGCAGAGGACAAGAGAAATGCCAGCCGCACTGCACTGAATGACATGTTTGCAAGTCTTCACAGCGGCACTGCACTGACGACACGTGCCTGAGAGACATTGAAACTAAACTACACGCGATCTGATCCAAAACCGACATAGCAGTGAAAGCTCGAATCCGGCTACGCCCAGGATTCTACAGCAGCAGCCATCGAGTGAAGGGTTATGTGCAGGTGAAGCCTGCGTGTGACCTTTTTCACATTGCGCAGCATTTATCGTGCCCAAAGCCCTGAAGAGTACTAGTTACGAAACGTCGGCACCGAGTAGTTTCATGGGCGCGTGAAAAGTCAGCTGCATTCTTTGGCGTCGGTTTGAACATCCTACCGAGTTAGGTGTAGAATCTGTACATCATGTGCAAGAGATTTGAAGAAAGCCTCAAAGACAAGCAAGCCATCGAATACCACATCATCAGTCAGTCAACTGCTTGATGCCAGCAGGCACTGCAGGTACACGCACCATTCGCACAGCGCTAAATGCATTTCTAATCCGTGGCCCCCTGGGCAGAAGACATCTGACAAGAAAGAGTCTCTGTCAATGGAGCTTAACTTAGCTTAACCACGAGGGCCTGCAAGAAGAACGACCTGCATCGTTTCAGCTCAGGCTTGGTCATGCTGACTTCGTTTCAGACGCAGCACCGTTTGTAAACACGCTAATCAAGGAAGGAACGCAAGAGTCGCTTTTGGACTCTGATCACTGGTACCGGTTATGTGCCATCTGGCACTCTTCAGCCAACAAACACAACTGCAGAAAGGCTGCAAATCAGAGTTGGCCTGGACATGTTGCTGCTTCTACTAGGTTTTTCTAGAAACAGCCTACCCAAAATTGTACCGGTAGGTTGGCCGGAGAAGATTGAAAGAGCAATCGTCAAACTGGCCTCTTGCAGCGTTGACTGTTGAAAAATAGGGAAATCGGACAATTTGGTTTTCAGATCATTCCATGCTGTCTGCAATCTCAGTTTTTGTCGACGTCACTGTAGTCCAATTTGCATACCACGTGTCGTGCATGATGAGACTTGGAAACTGCATCATTCGAAACACATTGTTTGCGATTGCGGTGTTTGTTCAAGAGTGAAGCTCGAAGGTCGAGGTCATAATCAGCCTGGATAAATCAGCACTCCGGGTGCAATCGCAGCGATAGCTGCTTCTGTCGTATCTGAACGTCATGACGAAATCCAGCTTCCGTGCTGTTCAAGACGAGAAATCTTGCAACTCGACTCTGGAAAATATGCTTCCGACAAGGCAAAGGATGCTCACCGTAAGCATGCAGGTAATGGGGATTGTGAGTTGATTTCCTTTGCACAAGAGTTTGCAAATGCGTACCATCAAGCCGAATAGACAAGTCCAGGAAGACGAGTTGGCGTCTCGAGACTTTGTAAGTCAAGAAAACTCCCGAACGTCAACAGCCTGAAGAGCTGATACGAAAGATCTCACAGCCACTTCGTCTGCATGAAAGATGCTACCTGTGTCGTCAACATACGCGTCATTTTTGTAAAGCAAGCCTGCATCAAGAGCTTGACGTACAAGTGGCCTGAAATGATGTTCGGGATGTATGTTTGCAGCATCTGTTGCAATTCGTTCTCCAATACTGAGTGAACGAGCTTTGCAATAAATTGCTCCATTGATGAGAACCGCATTGTTGTTCAAGATAATTGACACCAATTTGGCAACGAAGTCTGTCACGGCCACCTGCTCAGCGTAAAAGGCGTCCAAACTTGAGCAAAGCGAAACCTGCAGGGATTCTAGATGAATGCGCAGGTAGAAATCCTCCAAATCTGCAGCTACAAAGATCAAACCTGCATTTCTGGACTCCAATGGAGATGACCGTTGTGTCACAAATCGCTGTCACTTGCCTGAGAATACTAGGAAGAAACAGGGTCAAGTTGTTGAACAGCGATCTCGTGTCCACTTCAACACGGCGTAGTTTACACCCAGGCTTATGCAGCTTCACCAGACAGCGAATCTTGCCCAAACAAGAAATCACAGCAGGTAACGTAGACTTGCACGGGGTTGGAAAGCCCAGTTCTCGGAAAGGCTGTAGAATAAACTTCAATGTGCCGACGTCAATCAAACGCTTCATCACAACATGATCGCATACTGCGTTCAGATGGTCGTATGCTGCAATTAAAGACCACATGTATTGGCTGCTGGAAAGTTCTGTAAAGGCACCGCTCTCAATCTCTTTCAAGTAGTGCTTGGAAATTTATTCCGATGAGGTATACGCTGGACCATATCCTTTGTCTGCCGAGATTTTGCAGATCACGTGCTTGATGTTTTAAAGCCAGCTCAAAGCGTTCTTGATGTAAAATGGCATCTTCGATCTCGAGCCGGCAAGAAACGCGATGGCAAACGGAAACTTCTGAAGAAGAGATCTTGACGACGCTGCCGGAAAGGTTGATTGTCAAAGAAGAGTCTCAACTTGACTTTGCGAATGAGGTCGTTGATGGACTTTCGGAATGAATCCTGATAGAAATGAGCTACTGGAATGAACTTGTTTCCCAACAAGAAAAGCCTGAGCTGCTGGAGGAAAACTTTCTGGATCAATGTCCTCTGATGCAGAGAAATGAACTTCCGAACCAACACCAGATCAACCAGGGTCAGCTGCTGTACATATTCAAACAAATGAGCTGCAAGGTGACTGGGTGATTCATGCTGTGCAAGATGGGTCGTAGATTTGCATATACGTCCGCGACCTTTGTTGCCAAAGTGGCAACGGCGGAGATTACGGATACTCATGTAAACGTCACGCGGCTTGCTCCGCTGCTGTTGCTGCGCTGTCTGCTCTGTTGTGAGACGTACTGCGGTTGAAACTTTTTTCGTGCTCACCGTAGATTTCACGGAATGTGTGGATTGCCTGGATCTTGCATTTTGCCTTCGGAATGAGTTGATGCTCTCAGGATGGTCCTCTCGATGAAGACGTCTTGGTGTTTCGTGCTGAAGCTTTTGAAGCTTGGGATTTCGTTCTGGAAGTCTTTCGCTTCGATGCTGAAGCTGAAGCAGCGCACCGTCGCTTGTGGGCATTTGCTTGCTTGTTCTTGCCGCTGCTGCGCGCACGACTGTTTGCTCTGCCTTTGTGTTGAGTTGCCGCACTGTTGAAGCGGCGGCTTTTAGAATTGCCTCGCTCGGCGATGGAACCAGAGCCACATTTGTTGCCGTTCATCTTGGATTTGCTCTGCAGGAAGGTCTGGGGCATCCTGGAATCCAAGTGGGCATAGCCTTTTTTTGCAAATCAGCTTCCATACCGTAGACCTGATCGTCAAGAAGCGTGAGCTGTTGACCGCGCCGAGCACGACTGAGCACGACGGTATTCTTGCTCAACATAATCCTGTCTAGCAAGACAAACAGTGATAAGACGTACCTTCATCTCGCGAGAAAGACTGCTAGGGCGGAAACGATTGAATGAGCTCGTCAAACTTTTTGCTCGCGATCCACCTTCTTCTTGTCAGTCTCTTCCTTCAACTTGCTTTTGTCAGCATACTTCTTAGCAGCTTTTTTCATGTACTCAGGAAGTCGGGCCATCAAAACGCAAACAACATGAGCACGCCCTTTCTGCATGTCGTTCTGATTTACTTGGATTTGGTTCCCAATCAACTTGTCATAGAGCGCGCCAAGCTTGTAGGTCACAAACCCCATAGTTTCCAACTCTTGCGACTTCGAAGCAACCCATTGTTTGTAGCCTCAATCTTGCCCTTGAAATCATCACGAGCTTTCTGATCATCTGCGTGTTTCTGAGCAACATCAAACTCTTCCTTCAATTCCTCTGGAATTGTTGACCGGATCTGTGCTGCAGAGGTTTAGGCCATTTGCCTTGAGCAAGAGAGCTGCATCACCCTTGAGGATCTGTAGAGCTTTGTGTAAAGCATCACACTCTCCATGGTAGATTTTGGCAGTGCGCTCAATGAAAGTAGGTATGATCTCCTCGAAGACTCCTGCCGCGAAATGAAATCGTCCTGCTTGGTCATCATTGCGATTACTAACGGATCCAGGTTCAGGAAATCTGCCTTTGTCATAGGTATAGAAGCTTCGAGGGTCAAAGAGCTGATCAACTTGTTGATGTCTGCTAACAATGGATCCATGGCGACGTCAGTCTGCTGGATTGCTGGCTTTTGCGCATTCTCTTGATTGACCAGCTGCAGTTCGAATTCTTGAGCGTGTTGCTGAAATGCAGACTGATCATGTAGTGGAACGTTTGGAGTTGGATACGGTCTTGAACGAGGTAGTGAAGACGCTCTCCTAAAAGAACCAGTACTGGACATTGACATAGATCGGCTCGGGTCAAACCACGCGTGTGCTCCACCTTGATCTCCCAGTGCGGTGCGCGCACGTCCCACAACATTCCCCTGTGCTAAACCCCCTGGGGGAAGGTTAGCAGTACCAACCATGGCGCGACTAATGTGTGCGAACATGCTAATCAAGGAAGGAACGCAAGCGTCGCTTTTGGACTCTGATCACTAGTACCGGTAACATGCCATCTGGCACTCTTCAGCCAACGCAACAGCAGAAAGCAGCTGCAAATCAGAGTTGGCCTGGACATGTTGCTGCTCCTACTTGGCTTTGCTAGAAAAACCTAGTAGACTCAACCCCGGACATGCGCAGCAACTACAGCACAGTCACCATCAATAATTTTCTGCGGCGGGTGCTTTCGCCTGACTGGCTTGTCGAACCTTGTGCCAAAATGTGTCGTACTGTGCTGTTTTCTTACACATACAAGTCGGCAGCCATAATTCACATTCAAAGAATCCCAGAACGCCACAGCGACAAACAAAACACGCCTGAGTAACGGTCCCAGCAGAAAGTGTCACGAAGCTGCGGCAAGGAGACGCATGCCGGCTAAAAGACAGGCTGAATTACTCTAGGTGGCAGACGCAACTCATGCATTCTATGCATATTTCATTACATTTGCGTGAAACAGCTTCTTGTTCCGGAGGTCGCCATTTCCGCTACCCTTCGAATGCAGGACTGAACTCTGGCACTCGCTCAAAGCCGCCTCTAGGCAGTCCCAGAATGCCCAGATGTGGCACAGGACTCAGAGCATTTCGAGCTGCGCATCGACAACTTGGACTCCAAAGGCGGCTGCGGCTTCAAAGGCAGCTTCTTCGCTTCCGCTTATCGCCTTTCAGGTGGTGGCAATCTCGGCTGGCCACGGCCTTTGTGAGAGCCGAAATTCTGCTGCACAGCTTCGTGGCTTTCTTGCGTCCTAGCATGCTCTTGAAGCCCTCGGTCACTGGTCCTCCCTGCCACCACTCTCAGACGCATGCCGAGTCGGTTGTCTCAGACACTCTCCGTTAGAGGTTGCTGCCGCTTCTTGTGTGCCGTGTGCTCTATCTATTTCCGGCACTTGTTTGGCCTTATGTTGCGTGCTGCTAATTGCCCTATCCGGCGTGGCGGCTATGATATGTCTCTCCCTCTCTTCTACGCGGGGTCATGAACATCCGAAAAGAAAGAAAGCCTCAGTTTGGTACCTCTAGGACTCCGGGAGCAGTGATGAGCAGTGCCGAGTCAGCAACACAAGATGGAACAACATTTTTGAAGCAAGCAACGGTGCCGTGAAACGTCATTTGCCTTCGTCGATGCAGATGATCTAGACCTAGATGGCACTCAGACCGCCTTGCCACGCAGTCTTCCATGTTGCAAGTCGCACAGGTTTGCTGTGACCGGATCATTCCGGTTGGAGTCAGTGGGCGCTGGCAAGCTCAAAATACTGCCCGCCAAAACGGCTGCGGGAAAGAGTGATATGGTCCCGTTCTCAGCTTGTCGCCACAAACACAAGAGTATTAGCGTTGTCGTTTTTAGATGGCAGAGTCATGTTGAGAAGCGAGCCACAGCGCAGTCTCGTTTCCTAGCGTGGATGTTCCACTTTTGACCAAGTGCCCCCGCCGCAAGTGGACCGCAGACATTCCGCATTGTATGCACGCTTCGTTCTTCTGCCTTCCTGCCGGGGGCAGGAAAGGTTCGCCGCTGATGCGACATTCGCTTGCCGGCACCTGCTTTGAATGGGGGCTCCAGCAAAATCATCTCCACAGCGGTCCATCCCCGGCTGCTACATGGCAACACAGAGTCGTGCCGACCTACCCGCAGTTCGACGTGGGCCGTATGTATGCATGCAGGCATGTGTGTACGTATGTACGTATGCATGTATGCATGCATGTATGTATGTACGTACAGAATTAAGCGTGCATATATCGATGCATTGTTGGTTGTTTGCTAGCTCTTCGTTGGTTGTATGCCATATGTGCATACATACATACATACATACATACATACATACATACATACATATTATGTATATATATATATATATATATACACATGTACATGCAAGTGTACATGCATGCGAGCATGCGAGTATGTGTATCTAGGTCGGCGTGTATGTCCAAGTCATATGTATGTATGCATGCATGCATGCATGCGTGTAAGTATGACAACATGCATGCATGAAAACATGTATGCACATCTGCATGAATGGGTGTGCACATGTACGGTATGCATGGCTGGCTGGCTGGCTGGCTGGCTGGCTGGCTGGATGGATGGATGGATGGATGGATGTATATGCGTACATGCATGTCTGCATGCATGGGTGTATGTATGTATGTGTTTATGTATGTATGTATGTATGTATGTATGTATGTATGTACATGCTCTTGTGCCTATGCAGTGTCGAGTGGTGCGTAGTGCAGGCACACTCGACTTAAGCTGAGCTTTGTTTGTGGTGTTCTTTGGCTGTGCGTGTCCTGTGCGAGAGAAATGTTGTGAGCGATCTGAACGACCCTTTGTTATCGTCGCGTGGTCTCATCGCCAAGGGCCGTGGCCCTGTATGTTCGTGTCGTCGTTTGAGCTTGGGTTCTCGTAGGGTCCAGCCCTCTTCGTGGATACCAGCTGCAATCGACGCTCCCAGGAACTCCACGCTGCGGGTGAAGGGAAGCACGTTGCACACGGTACCTACATGTAACAAACAACGCAAACTCACGCTCTCCCTTGTGCAATTTGGTCATGGCAACACGCATAATCACACACAGCACGCATACGATATATGTGGCTTTTTCGCACGATTTCACAGTGCCAGATTAGCATTGTCCAGACTACGGTGCGTAGACAGACTGGATGCACAGGTGTTCAGCTTCGACGAAAGCCTTCACGATGGAGCCGCTTTGTTTTTGTACCGGTGCCTTGGCAGATAATTTCTGTAGACACCTGCCAATCCACGCCCTGAGCTTGCTCCTCGTGGCAGTATTGGGACGGCCCAACTTAGCTTCTCTGAGGTGCTTGAAACGCCTTGGTGGTCCTGGTATCCTGAATTTCCTGCAGCTGGAGGTGGACACTGAAAAGGCGTGATGGCTTTAGAAGTGTCGCTGTTAATGTAGATACAGAATCCCTGTTCAGGATTCTGTGTTCGTTGCTCCAACTGCACGTCTGCTTCGTGCTCTCTGGGACCAGCCCGTGGTCCTGAGGCAGGGCCTAAGGCTTGCTTAAGGTTGCAGCTGCCGGGCTGTGTTGGAGCAAACTTTCGGAGAAGACTCTCAATCCCTGGTCAGATTATCAAGCAGACTATGACTATGGCAGCTATGGCGATAGGGTTGAAGCCAACGCGAAATTGTACGTGTATAAATAATGTGCACAAGGGGCAGGCTCAGTCTGCCAGATTGATGGGAGCCCTGTTTCGGAACGCCCACACTGTTACAATTTTGATGATGTTGAGACACGTTACGTTGCACTCATCCATCATGTCTTCTTTACCTTGGAACAGACCTCGCCTTGCATGCTCAGGCTCACCTCCGAGGACGGGAAGCTTTCTGATTAATCAATCCCGGCTTGGAGCATGCGCTCTCGCTTGCATCTGTCTGCTTGGCTGGCTGGCTGGCTCTCTTTCGCTCTTGCTCTCTCCTTGTGGCTTGCAAAGATGGCATGGCCCTCACAAGCCGACAAATGCTGCGTTGCTCCTGATGTCCGCCGTCCGCCGTAATGAACATGCAAGACATGCGATTTGATTGTATTCGTAATGTCATGTTGCAAATTCATCTTGCTTAGCATTGTGGCGTGAAGCGGGTCAGTCATGAGTCTTCATGCTCGAACGATAACTTTTGACGCACATATGGCGGCGGCAAGAAGCTCTCACGCACTGTTTCACGGTCGAACGCGGGCCGTGCTTTCAGGTCCACACGAAGGCGACATGACAATGACAACATGACGCCAACAGTTTCACACACTTTTACAAACGCTTGGTCGTGGGCCGTGGACATCCGTGGACCATTGCTGAAATATACGGGAGAGTCGCGATGAGTCGCGTTACGTTTCGTCTCTTCTTTCTGGCTGCGGCATAAATTGCTCGGCTCCTTCCTGGCTGACGGAGCGGCCGGAGGCGGCCGCATCATTCGGCCGGTCTCGGAGTAGTCTCGGTTTTTCTGCTAAGGGCTAAGGGGTCTTTGTCAGCGATGCATGGCATGTGGCAGGACAAAGTTTGGACGGCTGCGAAGCCTCCACATGCATCTCGATCTACAAGTACTCTGTGCAAAGTGATTGGTAGCATGAAATCTTTGTCATTGTTGTGCAAGATAGCCGAGGACTGAGATTCTTGGCGTTGGAAACATCAGCAAGACCACTGAAGGCACTGGCATTATCAATGCCAAAATTTGCATGCACGCGCAAGGCCTCATGAAGCACAGACGGTATGCTCAGCTCAGCTGAGCAACTGATCCGCCTTTGTTGCATTGGTGCCGATCCGCGCCCTTTGAAGAAGCCACATATGAGCTTTTGAATCGGTTTGTCTGTGGACCACTGCGATGCAAACTTGTGCTCATTTTGATGGCACCGCAGTGTGCAAGCGTTTGGTTGCTTGCACGAGGGCCGTTCCGACTTTGCCGGCTGTAGCTGTGCAAATGCACCTACTAGATTCTAGATCTGTCCTAGAACCAGAGTCTTCCGCTGCAGTCAATTGCAAGGCTTGCCCATAAAACGGGCTAGCAGTTCCTTTCTCCACGTTCCCATGCCCGGCTGTGAGGTCAAGTTGCAGCATTGCGAGGTGACCTGGTTAGATCTAGGTATGTGGCAAACACTGCTGGGTAGCTTCGCTGATCACAGCGGTTTTCAGAGCCGAAGACGATGTGCATCGAGTAGATTGGGTGACTTGCAAGAACCACCTATCCGGCGCTGTGCTCTCTGTTCTCTCGCATGCAGATGCGACAAACAGAAGTCGTGATTGCCATCCGTTCCTGTTACATCCCTTCTTCGGGCCACTGGCACAGCCACTGCATGAGCAATTCCACGCGAGCAATTCGACAGCTTGCAGAGGTATTTTGGCTCAGAGTAGTGGCAATGGATGCATGTTGCCGGGGAGTTGAGTTTTCAGGGGCTCACCAGGCCAGGCGCCCGGAAGTTGAACATTGAAGTGAAGTCCAGGGTGAAAGCTGCGCTGTGTTGTGCGCAGGTTACCCTGCCTGCTCTGCCTCCTCCGCAAGGCGACTTTTGATGTCAGCATGCCAGACACAGGCTGGCCCCGGCCCTGGCCAACACGCTGCCAAAGGGACACGGTGCCCCCGCGGCAGGTGAAGATTTGTGAGCCAGGAGGAACTGGAATCCTCCTTCCGCTTTTCGGGGACGAAGAGCAGGCAGTGAGAGTCCTGCTTGAAGGGCAGAGGCATCCGATCAGCTTCCTGCAGGAATGGCGCAAAGGATTGAGAGCGGTTCTCTATCTGCTTGGCTTGCTGTGGTTGTTCATGGCCGTCGCGACTGTTTCTGACATCTTCATGGGCACAGGACTCAGGCGGTTGACTTTGCAGTTCAAGAGGACTGGCGAGTCGGCAACTTCTCGAGAGATTTTGAGTGCTGAGGTGCGATTGAAGAGATCACATCTAAGAAGAAGAGAGTCCTGAACGCTGCAACGGGCAGACACTTCACCGTGAAGGCTGGTGATGATGTTTTTCTCTCCAAGATTGATGGTGAAGCAGTGCCAGGTTTGGAACGATACCGTGGCGAACCTCACACTCATGGCTCTGGGGTCAAGCGCACCAGAAATCCTCTTGTCAGCCAGGGCTCTTAGTGGTCTACAGTGCAGTTCTGGTTTTGCATAGACGTCACCTGCAATGTGTAATGTGGCATAGGTAATCGAGCTGCTCGGGAACAGCTTCTACAGTGGAGATCTTGGCCCATCGACCATAGTAGGCCGAGTCGTGTGCAGCCGTTGCAACTGTGTGGGAAGGTAACGTGCGTCCGGAACGTACCTTGCTAAGCACTGCCTGACTGTAGGCAGTGCTGCCTTTAACCTCTTCTGCATCTCGGGTGTGTGTGTGATGGCCATTCCAGACAATGAGGTGCGAGGATGAACCCCACTCAATCCGAAAAGCTGGGGTGTTTCGAGATGTTGATGGACTTTGAATTCAATCATCCCCATTGATGGCAGGTGAGGTACATCAAGGACACGAATGTTTACCTCGTTACCGCCGTCATTTCTTTGCTTGCGTACCTATGGCTCTCCTCTCAGCTTCTACGCATACGCAGGGCGAGAGAGAGATGTGCGAAGACGTCGAAAATCTGGAGACCACGGGACATCTGTGCTGTAGTCTTGCAGTTTAAGGCTCTACCTCGTGGTGTCCGTCATCTCGCAGGACCGGATTATTGAGCATTCATTGGCTGCGCAGCAGCTGGCAAGTCAGCTGGAAGAGTTGCGTCTGCACACTTTGGGTTGGAAGGACATGGTGGACATTTTTGAAGGCTGGAAGTCGCACGGTCTGCCCCAGCTCCCTCGCAAAGACCCGTGACACATGTCCTGTGCATCGCAAGACTGAATTCGAGTACAGCCTTGGTCAAATAAATAAACAAAATGCAGATACATATATATATATATATATATATAGATAGATAGATATACTTGTGTTTTAGAAGTTTTTTTGTATATATATATATATATATATTTACACATGTATATGTATATGTACACGTATATGTATATGTACATGTATATGTATATGTATGTATATGTATGTAGGTATGTGGGTATGTGGGTATGTATGTATGTATGTATGTATGTATGTGTCTGCGTATAGTTATGTATATATGTATGCATCAAGTCGGAGTATATGTGTATGTGTATATAGGTAGATGTGCCTGTATGTTTATCCGTGTATATGGATCTGTGTGTTTATGTATATGCGCACATATGTATATATGTGTATACGCATCTATGTATCTATGTCTGTATTCTATATGTATGCATGTATATACCTGTACATGTATATACCTATATGTATACATATACTTGCACATACACATATGTACATGTATATATGCATATGTGAAGGTATATGCACATATATATATATATATATATATGTACACATGTGTTTCATGTATGTAAGTCTGTCGCATGTATGTACGTAGTTGCATACGTAGGTATGTATGTATGCATGTATGACATGATGTCACGTGTGTGCACATATGTATGTATGTATGTATGTATATATATATATACATATGTATGCACAAGTGTACATGCACACCATGTGTGCATATATGATCCCGGTTCTCGGTTCACCGACCCCCCCCCCCCCCCCCCAATGGTATCCCCCCCCCCCCCCACGCTCCCCAAGCCGAAATTTGTGTGTGACTGTGCAAGCTTCTTCTAAACGAGGGCTCACACACGCCAAGCAGACCCACGCAGGAAACCCAAACCACACCACAGGAGGGAGTGGGGAAACCAGCCTAAGCAGACCCACCCCCGCACCACACCACACCACACCACAGGAAGGGGGGAAGCAACCCACAACCACACCACACCACACGGGGGGGGAGGAGGAACCATTGGGGGGAGGGGGGGGGTGCTGGCCATGCGTAAAGGTGTGTGTGTATGTATGTATATATGTATGTATGTATGTACATATATATATATATACACACATAAATACAGAAAGCGTGGCACTGCAGGCCCGAGTTTCGAAACTTTCTGTTTTCACACCATAGGCTAAATTTTACAAGAGTTACATCTACCTCCATTATCTACACGATGCAACAAGAAATAAAGGAGCCATGCTGCATAGTTCAAAGCACATACACACACATACCCATATTCTCTTGCAGCATGTAGTATCTCAGTCTCTCTCACTCACTCTCTCTCTCTCTCTCTCTCTCTCTCTCGCTCTCCCTCTCTCTCTCTCTCTCTTTCTCTCTGTCTCTCTCTCTCTCTCTCGCTCTCTCTCTCTCTCTCTGTCTTCCCTTGTCTCTATTGGTAGGCATTCTCACCTTCCTGTACTTTCCCATGCTCGTCGCGATCGCCTTCGCAGCCGACAAAGGCGGCTCCCGTAATCCTCCTGTTAATCGGGATTTCATGGACGAGCGGAGCTCGAGGGGCTGTGAAACGAATGTTTAGATTTGGACGCACGTGGTTTTCATCGTGTTGGTCAGAACATGGCAGGCTACATCACCTTTATCAGGCGCACAAACTCTGATCTGCATATCGTGCAGAAGGTCGGCCGTTTGGAGTGTGGGTAGGGTTTTACGGCCAGCAGTGTTGTAGGCTGCAAGCTGCCCTGCTACCCGAGTTCAGATCCAACTGACTTTCTTAAGCCGACATCTGCTCCAATTGACCGTTGTCAGTTGTCCCAGTCTTCAGATCCTTTCAGCTGACATGAGTGTGCAAGCTCAAGCGCCGCACAGCGGCGGCGCACAGTGCACCATATGACACGCGAGTCGCGTCGCGCACGCCTTTGCCTGAGAGAGTAACCCTTCTCAGAACAGGTTCGCGCTTCGCCTCCGACAAGCCTTCGAAAGGCTACCATGCAAGCTGCGACTAAAGCCCGAGGGATCCCCAGG